GTACTAGCTGGGCCTCAGTGATATCACTGACAGGTATGAGACATCTCAGGTTATCTGGGACTTGTTCCACTAATGAGACAAATTTAACATACTTTTTCCTAAGTGTAAAGCCTGGAAGATAATGTACAGATTTTTAATATAGGTGGATAGAGACTGTTCACCTTAGCTCTGATAGAGCAGGTCCCTCTGAAGCTGGTCTTGATGTTGTCACTGTGGTTCCACAACCCTGGGTGGTGGACAGAAGTTCCTTTGGCTCCATCTCCCTGCTCCCAGCACAGGCAGTGCTTCTCAGTAGTGCAACTCCAGCTCCTGGCTTCAGGGCTTCAAAATACCACACCCCTGTTCCTCTCTAGACTGTCCTTACTGCACAGCAATAGATCAGTGCTCCAGGAAGCAGTTAGGTGTGGGGTTGGTTTTTTTATTTACTTTTTTTTTCTGAAGCAGGCTCTATGCTAAATAAGAATTCTCTGTAGATTTGGCTGTAAGTGAAGTAACTCTACAAAAGCCCACGGACCTCCCTCAGCACATACTAGCTCCAGACTTGCTCCCTTGTGTCCCTCTGTAGGAAGTGATGCTGCTGACCTCAGCCCTTGTCAAAGCCCTGCTTCCAAATAAAACCAGAAATAAAATCAGAGCACACACTTGCATTGGTTGTGCTGCTGCAGCACAAGTACTGGAGGAACCCAAGACAGATGGCAGGGTTCCTGATGTGGCTGAAGGCTCTGCTGCAAACTACTTTTTAATGAGTTGAGTTTCCAAGGGACACCTGGGATGACCTCCTCCAGTGGCTGTTGTGCCTGAAGAGGGCAAACAGTGGGGAGAGGCAGTGGAACAAAGGAATCTCATTCTTGCTTACCGAGGGCTTTCCAGCTACAGTGACAAAAAGGCAATTTTTCATTCTGAAGTTGTGGAGAAGTTGAAATTGTAAGCATCTGTGGCTTACAAAAAAAGATAATGTAACTTATGAGCCTGGATTTCCACGAGGCCAAAGGGGAAGAAGAGAAGTCAACCCTAGTGACTCACTTCAGTATTTCTGCTGGAGATTTATGTCACAGGCTGGGCAAGACCTCAGAGTTTCCAGATGAGAGTGGGAGTGCTCCTGCTCCACCAGCTGATGCAGTGTTACCAGATTTGTAGTCATCTAGCACGAATCTTGCATTTCTCAGTGCTCCCCTGCTTCTCAACTCTGTCTGTGTGTGTTATATTTACTGTTTACTGGCTATCTGTTGAGAAGGAAGATGAAAGAGATGGAATGAAAGAATATTTCCAAGCATTTTGTATTCTGTTACTATCACCTAATCATTTCATAGCTTCTACAGTCTTTTTTGCCTGTTACATACAAACCCCAAAGGGTACAGCTAGAAAGATATGACATGTTACAAAGGCAAGCTCCCACTGATTTCACAGCCTGGCTAAGTGGATGCACAGATCTGTGTTCCTCCATGTAGCTTTTGCTTCACTGCTGCCCCACAGACTAGTCCTGCAGACTCACTCTGCACTTGCACCCCAGCTCCATCACGTTACCAGCTGGGGCCAGCAGGTGAGTTCTCCATCTAAAACCCATACGTCCCACCTCGTCCTGCATCACCCTTGGCTGCTGCTTCAGAAATATCTTCTAGATGATATCAGAGGCTCTTCCTTTCGTGAGAGGCTGCCCACAGCTGGATCCGTGGGGGCTGCTCTGGGTCGGTGCCGAGTCTCACGGCATATCACCACTTGGCAATCTGTGGTGCACCACGAGCTGCACAGCAGCAGTAGTTCTTCTCGTGCCATGTATTCCCTGCATTTCTCAGAGAAAAGACATTGTGAATAGGACTGCCTGAAATATGTAATTTCCTTTTCACAGGAAATCCTGTTGTTCTGGGAAAATCGTTTCTTACGGTTTGAAAGTAGGACTGTAGGCTTTAAAAAAATATCCCAGCAAGAGAGACCATCCGTGTTTTCACTGAGGAAAACTGAACACAGGGTTGAATTTTTCCAGGATATGTGTAATGTCAACCTTGGACTCTAGTCCTGGTGTGTGCTTCCAGGCTTTATCCTCTCTCCCATATCCCAGGCTATCAAAGAACCCTTTTCTAGTATTGAGATTCCCTTCATATTTCTTTGTTAAATACCATATTTTGCCAGCATTATTGCTTCTCCTAGCAAACTTGGCAACATTGGAGTTAAAATGGCTCCTACTGGATTGTACTGTACTGCATGGAGAGACCAACTAAACAAAGGTTGCTCGTTTGGAAGGGAGAAAAACACACACAGGCTTTCCATCCTTTAAATACAGCAAGACACAAAACTGCTCCATCAAGCCAGTTTTAAGAAAGCAGTTACAAATAGTAGTAGGACATGAAAATAGAGATTTTTCCAGTTTCAGGTATATAACATATTTGTATATTTACTGTATGTGTAAGGTGCTATACAGACAGTTTAGAAAAAAGGAGTCTAAACATTATTGTTTCAGTATTGCAGGGCAATGCTGAGTTCAAAACAGAGTGAAACATTAACTAAGTGCTGTATAATCAGGGATGTGAAATCCTGGGAGATCGGAATTGCCTTTCCTATTGTTGGTTTAGATGCTAACTTTGTAGGTTTGTTTTTATGACACAAGAAACATTTCTCTACTGGGGGAATACCACACACCTGTTTCTCTTTTATTCCTCAACTTAAAAGTTTCCTGAACAAGCTCCGTGGAAGGAGAGAGCATTATTTTGTTGGATACCTATGGAACAGCTTTATTTACAGAAGCTCTTTGTTTGCAGCTGATCTTAAGCTTAAAATAGTTTGAACTTAAAAGGTGGTGCATCTTTGAAGGGATATAATTTAAAGTGCTGCAGCCTGCCTCTTCCAGTGTGTCTGCTCTGTGGCCTGATGGAGTGTTTTGAGCCATGTGGTTTAAACCATGACACAAAGAAGGTGTTTTGGGGAGGTGCAGCAGTGGATATAATCGAAAGCCAAGCATGCTATTTTTGAGCAGTTCCTCAGGCAGTGACATAAGTTTGGGCAGAAAAAAATATCTCCAAAAATCTCCAAGTAAGGCAAACATCCCAAACTGTCTCGTAGCAGAAATCCTCTTGCTTTGCTGGGGAGCAGAGGGGACGAGAAGGGGCTGGGCACTGGGCCGTGGTGTGCGCCCCCAGGGCGTGTGGGGAGGGGGCACCTCTCATTGGGATTCTGTGGAGGCAGTGAGGACAATGGGCTCTGCTCTGCCCCTCGGGGTGACAATGGGCTCTGCTCTGCCCCTCGGGGTGACAATGGGCTCTGCTCTGCTCCTCGGGGTGACAATGGGCTCTGCTCTGCTCCTCGGGCTGTCGGGGTGACACCAGGGTCCTTTCTTCCCCGTGGGGAGGGGGCACCTCTCATTGGGATTCTGTGGAGGCAGTGAGGACAATGGGCTCTGCTCTGCTCCTCGGGGTGACAATGGGCTCTGCTCTGCTCCTCGGGCTGTCGGGGTGACACCGGGGTCCTTTCTTCCCCAGCTTGCCAAGGGCTTCCTACTGCGACTGATTTAGGCAAATGTAATCGAATGCAAATCCTGTGCTTGTCCTTCTCCTGACATCGAGCTGCTTAAAATAATCAGGAGCTTTGGGAAGCCAGGCAGAATTTGGCAGCTCAGAGTTGTCTTTTAACCTGAACGAGATGGGAAGAGCTCTCAGTTCAGGCTGGCTTGTAGAGTGCTTCTGGGGGATGAAATAGCTTTTCATTCCATGGCAAATTTTGTCCCCGTGGCACAGGCAGGCATGAAGGGGAGTGGAGACTACAGCTATGCACAGAATTGCTGAAAGTAGGCAAATGTGTCCTGCCCTTTAGGAAACTTGTATTTGATTCACTTTGTTACAGACCAGCAGTAAAAACCTGCATCTGACCAGCAGAAATGCTTATTGAACATATGCTTAGTGCACACTGAATGTGACACCATTATTGGTGCATCCCTTGCTCCTCCTGAAAAATAGACTTCAGAGAGAAATATTTAAAACCAAAATTTGGTCTCAGTTTTGTTTAACAAGTAAGGTCTGTAGCTTTCAGGTCTAGAAGGAATTATTGGTGCATCCCTTGCTCCTCCTGAAAAAAAAAAACTTCAGAGAGAAATATTTAAAACCAAAATTTGATCTCAGTTTTGTTTAACAAGTAAGGTCTGTAGCTTTCAGGTCTAGAAGGACAGCTTTCTAAGGCTGTACTCCTGTAAGAGCAAATGGTGTGTCCTTGTGTGGTGTAGACCTTTACTTAATGTTCAGGTGACACATTGTTTTGTACAGTTGCTGCCTTGTAAGCCTGTGTTTCATTTTAATAGCTCCACTTTGGGTGCTGCTGTGTTCTTGCTGGGCTGGCACCAGTCCATTGTGGCCCCTGTGGTTTTTGTGTCTGTGTGAGCATAATGGTGCTACAAAGGGATTGTTGGCCATACCAGGGCTGGGTGCCTTTTACAGGTTGTCTTACCTTGTGTTACAAAGCCATATGCTTACTGTTTGAAAAGGGCTACAGTAAAATTCTGCCCAAACCAGAACCTTGGAGCAGGATGCCCAAGGATTTGCTGCATCTCAAGTATCTCTGTGCCTGTCTGTAGGAGCAAACACACACAACTCGATGGTATTTTAGGTTTTTTTTGATGAAGATATGAAATCTCTTCAGAAGATCCTTTTAATTTTGTTTTTTAGTTGATTTAGGTACACTTCTGCTGAAGAGAGTTTTAGAAAGTAGCACAGGATGGTCAGTGGTGGTGTCCGTGTGGTTGAGCCTCCTTAACATTGGAAAGCAGGCTTTGCAGGATGGATTGATTTCCAAGTGTGCCTCCACATTTGTAACACAAAGAAGTCTTAAATGACATAACTCCTGTGTGGAGAAGAGCATAGCCTTGCATTCTGCTCTGGAAACCAGACTGCCCTGGGAAATCTCCTGTGGGAGACGCAGAAGTCTGTGCCACCAGCTTAGAAAGCCCTGTGCTTCCAAATAAGACCTGTAAACAACGTGCACCTTCACTTGACTCACTAATCTCTCTTGATTTTCACCAGGAGCTCTGACTCTGAAGAAGCATTTGAGACCCCAGAGTCCACTACACCAGTAAAGGCACCACCTTCACCTCCACAGCCACCCCCCGAGGCAGCGGCCGTAGCAGACCTAGCAGAACAAGAGAAAAAAAACCAGCTGCCCTCGGAAGACACAGGTAATGGGTGTGTGATGGGTGGGGTACTGGGGAAGGTGAAGCTGCAGGGAGGTGTTTCTGTAAGCACAGGTGAGGAATTGCTGCTAATAAAATGTCTTCTTGAAGATTAGTTAGTGCATGCTGAAAAGAAGAACCCTGTTGCCTCTTGGGATGAAGTATTGGAGAACCTGTCCATAATACTTCATAAATATTAAGGAAAAAAAAGAAGCTTTCTAGAAAAAACTTACTTCCTTTTCAATCAGACTTCGTTCTGGAGGATCTTTGCAGAGTCAGATGAGTAGAAAAAGGAGGCAGGAGAAACAGATGCTGGTAGCTCAGGGAGTGCTGTTAACAACTGTGACAATTAACAAAATGTTATTTCCAGTGTATTGTCACCTGAAACAGAAAGTGAACAAAAAGTCCATTAGAACAACAGAAATATTGATATTCACTTTATAGGAGGAGCATGGGAGTATGTGTGAATGTATGTGCCATACACATACATACAGATTGGTACATACCAGGAAAAATAACCTTTAAAAAGGGAATATTATATTTAAAATAAATAAAGAAATTCTTTCCCCCCCAAAAAGTGTTCTTTGTTCTCCAACTGAGTAATGGAATATGAGGGAGTAGAAAGCACTCTATTAGCCCAAAATAGCTTTGTTTGGACTGTCAGATGACAGCTCAACAGTTGAAGACTGAATCCCTCATTATGCTGTCTTTTTTCCCATCCGAAAGTCTAGTCATCTTGATCACCTGGCTAAACTGAATAAAGGTAATTGTACTCTCAGCAGACTAAAGCTCTCTTGTGCTTTGTGTGGAAAGATGTATAGCATGGCCAGGGAGGGCTCAGAGCTTCCATTTCCACTCTAGAAGTGGTGGCTGTGTTTGGCAGTGGGCACAGCAGTGTCCGTGGCTGGTGTGTGTATTACAGGGGCTGTCCAGCAGGAAAGTGACAAATCTTGCAAATGTCTCGAGCCACCTAATGCATTTCTGGGAGTTACACACTAAGGAATGCTCTTTAAGATCATGATTTATTATTCCAGTTTCTAAGAAGCTGGAAAGATGTTTAACATACTGATTCCACAAAATAAAAAAGAAATAGTGAGGCATCCTGATGCTGCTTCTTTTCTGCTGTTACAGTTCCCTCTTCATTGTAGCAAACAACATTACTCGTTCTCCATCTTTCTATTTTCTAATCTTTTGTAATCTAATGATTACAAAATAAGAGCTGAGAGAACAAAAGAACACATATGCTGAACAGGGTTGGAGTGTGGTTTTAATTATTGCAGTAGATTATCTTCAAACCTTTGATTACACATGTGCTTCCCTGGCACATGTGATTCTTTCTCCCTGCATCCCAGATCTCCTCCTCCTTTCTTTCAGACATTTCTGAGGAAAAGTAGGAAACTGAATATGTCTATTCACATCCAGTGTGAAGTATATTGAAGGCCGTTGGATAGCAGAGATGAAAACATTTCATTTGCAAATAAGATTTCTCCTTGGGAGGCAAGTTGCCAACAGTCTGTGTTATACTGAAGTTACACAACAGGGTAATTCACGTGAGGGAAGGGAGATGTGTAATGTGGAAAAGCTTCAAATGTAGGAGGGCAACCCAAAGCATTCATTTCTTTTGGAAATCTTTAGAAGAAATGAACAATAGTCAGACCATAGCTTAGGTGTTTGCATGCTGCTTCTGAAATGCAAGCAGTTAAATGTTTTGTACTTTCTAAACCCCTGGAGTAACAGCTTGTAGTTTGCTTATCTCATGGGTTATACATGTGGCTGCACACAAAATGAATGAGTCCCTTCCTGGGGGATATGGTCAGTTAAAGCAGAGTTCTTCATGGCTGCCATACAGCTAAAGAAATAGGTTTCAGGAGAAGAGGAGTGGGGAATAGGGGCAACCTGGGAGCCTGGCACACACAGGGAGAGGCAGCGACCTGCAGCTGGGTTCCTGGTTCACCAGCTGCATGGCTTTGTCTTCTGCATGAGGCTGGTGACAGAGCCTGTGCTTGCATGGAAGGAGGGAGCACAGTAAGTGTTTAAAGGATTATTTCATCTCTGACAGTCACTCCTGCTGCAGATGGCTGCAGTTGTGCTGCTGCCTGGTGTCATCAGCACAGCAGCTGGACCCCACTGCTGGAGAGCCAAGAAGAAGAGGGTTTAATTAGGTTGACTTCAACACTAACTTAATAAATAGGATGGAAGTGAAATATAGCTGGGCTTGTCCTGGGGTTGTGCCAGCTCCTGGTGGGGTAAAACCTGCTGCATGGCTCCAGTCCATCAGCAGCAGAGCAGAAGAGGGGAGTCAGTCTGCAGGCGAGTCTGGAGGGGAAGGGGAGTAACAGAGCATGTGGAGAAACCACCTCTGAACCCCAGAAAGAGTCACTAATGAGCCCTTCCATTCCTCCATCAGTACTTTGTTTGTTGTGGGGAACATGGGTTGTACTGTCCAGGAAAAAGTCTTTGAGAGTGCTTTTGATTTGTTTTTATTTTGGTAGCATTTCAAGTTATCGTTGCCTGTCTCATCAGCTTCTGAGAGCAGTGTCCCCTTGTCCCTTGCTCCAGCCATCTGAGCCCCAGAGAGTGCCCCAAGATCTTTTTCAGAAATACCCCCTGTTTCTGGCCAGGAATTCCTGCCTGGACGAGGGCATTTCTTCTGTCCCCCCACTGCCTTCCTCAGTGAATGCAGGAACTAGACTCACAGGGAGACGTGAGAGCTGGAGTCCCCTCTGTGCATTACAGCCCACCCATCAGGCTAGGGGAGACCTATATTCAGGTCCTTCTTGTGCCAGGGAAATTGAGGTCAGGCTTTCCAGTAGAGAGATGATGACCCAGACAGAAACAAACCTAATTTTTGCAATGGAAAACATTCTTCTTCAGTTTTCTTTTTTTCCTCTTGAAGCTTGCCTCAGAAAATTGAAAAGAAACTTTGTATCCAAAGTTTTCTCTGAGAATAAATAGCAGAAATATTTTTACAGTAATTTATAAGATAGCATTACTAATTGATTTTGTAACTTCAAAAGCTTCTCATAACAAGCAGGGACTTCAAATAAAGTGTGTTTCATGTTTTCTGGTGTTAGGTAATTCCAATTCCTGTGTCCTATAGGCAAAGTGTTCTTGTCTTCCCAGTTATTTCATTATAATGGAGTACATGAGTGCTGACTGCGTGCGTTTTCCAAGGGTTTCTCTTTGTTTATTTTTCTCTAGAAAACACAACTAGAATTTAATTTCTCCCATATTTGCTTCATTGGAACTGGTTGAGTTTTGTTTCTAAGCCTTTCAAAACAGCACTTCATTCTGTTTCCAGCTCAGCAGTGTTAAGCTCTTCTATTTTCAGCTTATTTGGTTTCCCCTTGTTCTAGAGATATGTCAACAAAGGAAAAATACTCAGCTGGCTAGTGCACAGTGCAGCTCCAACTCTAGAAAAGTTTATTGTACTTTAAACAGAATAATATTTAAAAATACTTAAGAGGTACCTTATGTTCTAACTCCTTAATATGTTTTTGTTATTCATGAAGAAATAGTTCAGGTTTAGGTTCAATAAGCTCATAGGTGGTGCAGATATTTCATTTTCTTCTTTAAAATATTTTTTGAAAACAAATCTGAAGTTCCAAAGCTTTGGAAATGTGTCTTTTTATGACACATCCCTGAAGAGCACACAGGCTGAGCTGTGGTAGGGGCTGCCCTGGGGTGCTGCTTGTACTGCAGTGCTCAGAATCACGGAATGGTTCTGCTTGGAAGAGACCTTTCAGATCATTGTGTCCAGCCCTTCCCCCAGCACTGCCAAGTCCACACTGACCCGTGTCCCTCAGCACCACATCTCCATGGCTTTTCAGTCCCTCCAGGGATGGGGACTCCACCACTGCCCTGGCCTTGACAGACCTTTCAGGGAAGAAATTTTTCCTCATGTCCAACCTAAACTTCCCCTGGTGCAACCTGGGGCCATTTCATCTTGTCCTGTTTCTTGTTACTTGAGAGAAGAGAGTGACCCCCACCTGGCTCTAGTCTCCTTTCAGGAAGAAGGTGTGAAGGTTTTGCTACTGCCATAATAGGTGACAATTGGAAACACCAGGCATTCAATGCCATGCAGCTCTCATTTAGGAGGGGTTCATCACCTGGATACAAGAAGTCAGGGGGAGGGGGCTTCTTGTTGCTTTTGGTTTTAAGGATTGGTTTTGTTTTTCATACTTGATCCAGGCAAAAATTCTCTGATATCAGAAATTCCCTTGTGGGAGGAGCAGAACTTGAATCTTCTTTTTTAATGAATGAAATGGAAGGTTTCTTTTAGGGATTGCCTGTTTTTCATGGCAGAATAAGCTCCCCTGCTATTGCTTATGTTCTTGAAATGCTTTATAAAACTTAATGTCTACCTTTGTGTAATTTGTGGGTGACAGTCAGTGCCTATAAAAATCATAAATCCTATTTTAAACCTTGTGCTGGCCTCTCACTACAGCAAGTCCTGCCTTAATTTCCAAAGCTTCCATTGTAGTGTGTTCCTTTGTGACCAAATTGCATTTTAATAACACACCATAATGAGTAATCCTGGTTTGCTGAATTCTGTGGTGTGAAAGGAGAAATGGCACTGCTCTCTGGATATCCTGTTAGTGGCTGCAGAGCATGCTCTTCATATTTTTTCATAGTAATAAAGATTTGTGATAGTGTTACTGCTCATATCTCCTGCTCTGGGATTTCTGCTGTTCCTAGGACAGAGCCAATTCTGTTGGAATGCCAGAAGAGTCTAACAGCAGCATTTTGACCTACCAAAACCCATGTTTTCTGAGACAGTTTCACATATTGCTTCTTAAGGAAGCAACAAAAATACCCCAGTAGTGAGTTGAGTGACACTCTGCAAAAATCTGTACTCTTAAGTAAAGGATTTGATTAGGAGGAGGTTGTGAAATCGGCAATTAAAGAAGATTAAAGCTCTGCACTAGATGGAGCACAGCAAATGTGAGTGCTGGTTTGCTCTGAGGCTGGAAAGCCTTGTACACTCTCTTTGCAGCTCTGCTGCATCCCCAGCCTCAGCTCTGCCACGCCTGTCATTTACAGTCCCAGCCCTGCAGGGCATTGGCTTTCTGTTATTTTCTTTTATTTTGTTTAAATGCGTGTTTGAGCTGACTTTGAACAAGGGGCCTCAATCCTGTGAGGCCTTTGGCACAGGCTGGAATGCAAACAGCCCCTAATTGCAGACGACTTCTCCTGCAGATGCCCCTTTTATTTCATGCTGACCTACATTTGTACTCAGCTGACGTGCTGGAGCTATGTGAGTGTTTGTTGTAATGCATTCCCCTTAAGTGTCTTTCAGTCCTGTTCCAGTGTAAAACTTGCAGTTCAACCTAATGCTGGAGTTTTGTGGCACTCTTTGAGCCCCCTTTGCAGAATTCCCATCAGTGTCAGAAGGTGACGTGTGTGTGTGAAGTGGGCACCAGCTCAGCTCACAAATCAACTCTAATTAATGACCTCGCAGCCAAGCTGACACCCAGCCCAACCCAGTGGAGGTTAAGGAGAAAAATCTGAAGTGCTGCCACGTTATTAGCATTCATTTATCAGGAAAACACATTGAAATATTATTTTAATTGATGTAACTTAGTCTAAGTAAATTAGTGCAGTTTCCACGGTCTTTAAAGAGGAACCATGTAGCTGTCATTCCTTTGACAATCTCTGGAAATATGTGGTGCCATTCTATGGCACTGCTTTGGGAATTGCATCCAATTTCCTTAAATCTTCTCTGTCATCTACATCCATAAATAATAATTCTTGTTATCTCTATGCAGACATAAAATTTCCTCTGAAACAAAGGAAAAATGTTTTTTTTCTCTTCTTAATCCATTCATAGCTTCTAACTAAAAGTACTTTTTGTTTGTCTGTGTGGCTTCTAGGAACAATGTTAATGAATGTAGCTGAGCAAAGTGGGAATTATTTTGCAAAACTTGTCAGGATTGGGATGAAGAAGATGTGTAGAAATTCCTCTGAAATCATTTAAGGATGAACAAAGCATTCATTTTTGTTTGACTGTTTTTTCTTTATAATTGCACTACTTAAAAAATTGACAACATGAAGAATGCTGCATTGCTTGGCTGGGAAACTCTGGGGTGTTCTGCTCCAGTACATACCAGTGAGAGCTCAGAGCTGAGTTAGCCCAGCTTGAACTGGGAGCTGGAGAGATTCCCCAGGTCTCCAGTCCCCTGACTGGGACACACACACACATAGACAGAGGTGTCTGTGTTACATTCAGGTGGGGAGCAGTACCATGACTGCAGGAACAGACCATATTTTCTGTAAATCACTTTAGTAGTGAACTTCCATGAGCTGGGGGGCAGAAATGACCATCCCCTTAATCCTTTCCTACCTATATATTTTCTTTTTTTTCATGACATAGTGTATTTTTTCCTACTCTTCCCAATATAGTTGTTACGATCCCAAGTCAAGAGACTAGAAATCTTTTTAGTATTCCATTAAATAAGCAAATCTTTAATTACAATGAAAAATGGAAAACTTCTGGGTTTCACAGTTTTAGCATATCAATCTCCCTAGAAAATTCTCATTGAGTTAGAAGTATACTTTCAGAAATCTTTTAAAAATAATTTGTAGGGAGCTTCTAACGGCTTTTCCTGAGGAAGATGTTCAGCTGAGAATATTTGTATGGTATTCTAATTGACTAATTTTCTTACTTTTACCATAATTTATTTCTTATGAAATTCTCAGTGATTCATGTCTAATTACAAGCTTGGAATTAGGAGGTCAGAGTGGAGTGTATTGACTGCTTGGGGCAGACAGAGAAGCAGCACTGATGGGTTGTGGAGAGGAAGCCTTGTTCCTCTGGGAATTGGTAAAAATAGCACATGGGTAACAAAACTTAAGTTCAACATGTAATTGCTGAAGCACCAGTCAATTTACAGGGAACTCACTCTATAAAAGCAGTGACACAATTCAGTGAACTCATTGTATAATAGTAGCAAATGTGAGTAATAAAGTGCTTGATGTTCAGACTTTCTGGTGTTTGGCATACTTAGCATGGTATAGCAATGATTATATTTTTTTTTTTTTAACTTGTAGTAATATAGATTATAGTAAACCTTACTGAGCTCCAGTTTCCAAACTGCATTTACAATTCATTTTCTGTTTCTTCCCCCAGGGCCATGTCCAGAAACTGTACCCGTCACTGATGTGTCACACAGCGAGTCGGCTGAGGAGAGCCCCTTCCGTCCCCCGTCCCATTCCTTCTCCACCGTCTTCGATGAGGACAAGCCCATAGCCAGCAGTGGAACTTACAACTTGGACTTTGATAACATTGAGTTGGTCGATTCTCTCCATGCCTTAGGACCGAGCTCTCCAGAGCTGAAGAGCCGTGACCCCAAAGCGAATGTTCGAAGGAAATCCACGGATTCAGTCCCCGTTTCCAAATCCACCTTGTCTCGATCTCTCAGCCTGCAAGCCAGTGATTTTGATGGGGCATCTTACCTGGGCACCAGTGAGACGTTAGCACCGGCAGCAGATGTGTATGGTACTGGGTCAAGTAGTGCTTCTAGTACCCTTAAAAGAACAAAGAAATCCAGACCGGCTTCCTTAAAAAAGAAGCAGACGGCAAAAAAATCTCTGGATGCTCCACCAGTGAAGGAGACACCACAAGAACCATCTGACCTTGGCCAAGCAGCTTGTGCCCTGGGTGAGGATAAAACAGTATCTGAAGCAAAGGCTGATCCAGTGAAGCCTGAATGTACAGAACCTTCTAAAACCTCTGCTGAGAAACAGGAGGCCCCACCTGTGCCTGAGGGATCCTACCCTTCAGATCCAGACAGTTTTGAAGGGATTAGTGCATTTAGCACTGGAGGCAGCAAAGTGCAAAACTCTCCCCCTGCCACTAAGAAAACACTACCTCTTACCAAGGCACCAGAGGCTGTGGAGGTGACTCCCCCTGACACGGGAGGACAAGAGGACCCCCCGGTCAAAGGCATTGCCGTGAGGCTGGAGTTTGATTATTCTGAAGAAAAAGGGGTGAGTGAAGACCAGCAGGAGAGCACTCCTCCTCCCAAAAAAGCAGGTAAAAAGCCCGGTGCTAAGATGCCACTAAGGAGGCCAAAGACTAAAAAATCAGTGGAAAAGCTTGACAATGCTCCAACCACACCGACCAAGTCACCGCCTGATCCAAACGAAATCCCCATCACAAAAGGCTCTTACACATTTGACATTGACAAGTGGGATGATCCCAATTTTAACCCCTTCTCATCTAGTACAAAAATGCAAGAATCGCCCAAACTGCCTCAACAAACGTACAGTTTTGAGCCAGACATGTGTGAGGACTCTATTGACCCTTTCAAGTCGTCTTCTAAGATAGCCAGCTCACCCTCTAAATCTCCAGCTTCCTTTGAGATACCAGCCAGTGCCAATGAAACAAATGGAACTGAAGGAGACAACCTGAACAAACCTGCCAAAAAGAAGAAGACGCCACTAAAAACGTAAGTTAAAGGGCACACACGTTCCTGCTCTTGAGCACAGTTAAACCCCCTTTATATTGGAACAGAGGAATGAAGATGAGTGTTGGGTGTCCAGCCACACAACTGGACTCATGCTCCTTCTGTTTTTCAGTAGCTTGATGTTTCCAGACCAAAGGGGAGAACCAGAGCTACCTCAAGCCAGATTAGGCCACTAGTCTGAAAATTGGCTTTTTGAAGTCTTGGGGCTCAGTGCAGCTTTGAGTCAGATTAAGTCCAAATTTTATCAGTTATATGCAAAATTTTTCTGTGACCTCATCTTGGGAATTTGGTACTGTTTAAGACAATCAAAGTATTCACATTAGTAAAGTCTATTTTATGAATCAGTTTTTGAGAGTGGGAAGTCAAACAGGAGATTTGTTATTGTCTCGCTGTTAAATGCAGCAGGAAGATGGTTTTATCCAGTGACTTATGGTATTTAAAAGAACCTGAAAGAGAAGAGTGCCATGTTGAAATATATATATTTTTTTTTAAATTCAAGACCAAAAAAGGTGAAAAATTTTCTTTCTCTAAAAAGTTTACAATCCTGCAGACGGGTTTCAGTCTTTAAAAGAAAAGAACCTGAAAGAGAAGAGTGCAATGTTGAAAAATACATATATTTTTTTTAAATTCAAGACCAAAAAAGGTGAAAAATTTCCTTTCTCTAAAAAGTTTACAATCCTGCAGACGGGTTTCAGTCTCCAAGGCATTAAGGAAATATCCAACTTCTAGATGACAAATTGGAGGATATATTTTCTAGCTTGTTGCATTTAGGTTCTTGGTTAAAACCCTGGTTGGTGAGTTGCATTCATTCCATGGTGAACTCGCTGCTGTGCATGTTACCTTATCTGTTCAGACTTGGTTAATTTGGGTTGGTAATCAGTCAGTTTATCCCATTCATCTGAAATCGATATCCTGTGTGGATCTACAAGAAAGTTTCTCAGGGCATGTCCTTTTATGGTTTAAATGTTTCAGCTAGCTAACAAAAACATGGCTAAAAATTTTTAAAAGCCTGGTAATTTGTAGATAACGTTCTGGATGTAGAACAGTACAAATGATGAGCCCCCCTCTTTATGGAGTGAAATGGAGATTATTAATTTTTTTTTCTGAGCAGCCTGCTGCTCTCCAGGTTTCTGATTCACATCTTGTGCCAGATTCGGGGAAGCTTGTGCCATATTTTTTTTCTTTTTAGGGGCACTTCTGACTTATGGAAGGTCTAGACCACTGTATAGTTGAGTTGTTTTTTGAGGGAGGAGCTTGTTTTATCTGATGTTGCTTCTTTTTGAGATATACCTGAAATTTGGTGGAAATGAAGGTGTATGCTAAGCTGCCATGTTTTTCAAGCCTGCAGTCCAAACTGGCTTGACTCAGCATGACTCCTCCATGGGGTCCAGTGCAGGAGAACTCCTGGCTGGGCAGGGAGATGGGGTCTAGGACCCTCCTTGAGAATGCTCCCATGGTGGCACAGGAGAGAGAAGCCAGTGCAGAATGCTTCGACTCCGAGGGGCAGGAAGGGAGGATGTTTGAGTTAGGAAGTAATACCATGATATACCAGGACTTCTAAAACCTAATTAATGGACAATTTTACAAAGCCAGGAGTTTTTATTAGTACTGTTGAGGGGTGCAGAAAGAAAACTATGAACCAGTTTGAAACTGTGTTCCTGAAATGGAATGACAATGATTTCTAGGTTAGACCAGTGGGAGGGGAAGAAGCCAGACATGAGTTTAAGCTATTGCTAAACAAGCACTACTTTGAATCTGGGCTGTATGCTAGGTCTTAGCTGTGCTAAATCAATAAAAATCAGTTTTTATTTTGGAATGAAACCTGCAGCAGTCTAAGTGTTGAGACATCCCTGTGAAGAGATGAGGTTTTGAGAAGAGATGTCAGCTTGATGCAAGTTACTCTGTGATTTTATACCTAAGTGCTTTTTTTTGAGACAGATCATGTTGTTCAGGTGATCCTGAACAAAGAGCAGCTGATGCTTTCCAAGTGCCTCTTTAGAGTGATGAGTAAAAGTAGGTGGCTCTAGAGGCATTGCACTTGAAGCTGTTGGATGGTTGGAGGCTGCGTTTAGAAGCACCAGCTTTCAAGAGCACTGCACAGGAGAAGAGCGGAGCGGAAGCTGCCAACCTTATATGAGTAGATGAAAACTTTTCTTAACTCCAAACTTTTCTGCATTTGGGGCATTTGGTTTGTTCTGTTAGAACACAAAGTGAAATTTGTGTGAGAGGTGAACCAGATGAGATTTACAGAAATGTCGTTTTCTTTCTTGATTTAGGTAAATGGTTTGAAATGGTCAAGCAGCTTTTTCTGTACTGTCGTAACAAATCAGCAGGCATGAAAAACCCTTGTGTAACTGCTCTTTCCTTAAGCTGAGCTGCCACTGAAGAGCAGTTTTACATCCTCTGTGATAACAAATACTGTGTTTTGTAAAGTGAGCGGGTGACTACCACCAGGGGAGGCAAGGATGGTTCGTGTGTTGGAAGGAACTTGGAGGCATCAGCTTTGAAAAATGTTTTGTGAGATGAAAGTGTGTCAGAAGTGTAACACTGAATTTGAAAACATTGAAGGACTTGAATATTTTTTTTTCTCCCCATGTATTTCACAATAAAAAGTAGAGGTTGAGATTGTACAGGTAGAAAATATGCATGATCAGATTGCCTTAACACATTAACATTAACAGATTATTTGTAGGTTTATCTTTTTTGTCAGTTCCTTCTGTCTGTCTCTCTTTTCTTTGTCTTCTTTGTCTTAGGATGGTAGAAGATGTGATGTCTGTATGTTCTCTGTTGTAAGTAATTCTAAGCTAACAATTTCCTCTTTGATTTATGGGCTTTTTAATTTCACTTATTTTGCAGCATGATCAGTTATTGCTCAGCATGAAGCTTTTATGTTAACTAGTTCACTTCACTGGCACGTATGGAAACTATTTAAGATGCTTTGCTGTGAATGAGTTTGAGGAATCTCTTGCCTTATTATCTCTTTGCCTATCAAAGAAAAGTCTCCTTGAAAAATGATACAGATTTTGTATCCTTGAGCTAAAATATGAAAGTTCTACCATGGTACAACAATGTTGTCCAGTCTCTCCTAAATACTGCATGGTGGTTTTCCTTAAAGGAATAGTTATCCTGATTACTTCTAGCACCATAACTAGATAATGAGTAGCACTGAACACAGCAGTATTCAGCTGTACAATTTATTTTCCCCTCTAGATGTGGTATTGATTTACCCTCAAGTGATTGAAACCCACCATTGTAATTGCTGGTGTTGATTGACCAGGGATGAGCTGGTGGGCAGTAATTTTTGCTGCTGCCTCTCAAACATTAAATCTTGAGCAGTGAGTTTGCTGTGATATTCTTCTCCCTCTTTTAGTTAGTAACGTAATTATGTTTGAATAACTGGCAATATGCATCAAGAAAACAGGTAAATAATTGGTTAGAAAATATTTTTAAGCAATCATTAATAAGCATAAAGGCAACATTTGTAATCATACACCAAGACATGGCGTATGCTCTTCATTCCTTTTGCCTGATGGAAACCTGTGGGATTTTGGAGGGCTGCAGTGTCTGTGCTCCCAGTCTGCACCGTGTCAGGGGAACTGGAAGCAGAATTGCCATGTTTGCTGTTGTGCCCAAAGGATCCTCTTTAAAACACATACATCTGTTCTGGCAGAGCTTTGTTCTGGTGTCTTGGGAACAGCATCTGCCTCGGCTGTTTTGTTGTAGATCATCCAAAGCATACCAGGTCTTTTCTTAATGATTTATGGAGCTTAATGATTGGAGCTTACTGCCCAAATTGATCTGTTTTAATTCTCAGGTAAAGATGTGGCTTAGAACTAATTTTCAGATGGGAAATTGAAGCAGGCAGAAGCTAAATAATTTGCTTACGGCCATTGAGGATGTCTGTGGTGAGCAGGGATTTAAACTGCAATAGAGCAGCAACTCTGCTCTAGATGTGTCAGTCCTTAGCATGAAAAATATGGCAATCCTGCTTTTCTCAGCTTCTGGGGACTCGAGGCCAATCCAAGTGCATGACAAGAACACACCTATGGCATGTTTCTCTGTGGTGCTGCTGCCTAATGGATGGGATTTTAAAGCAGAAGGGCTTACAGAGGTTGCATTGTCTGTGGCCATCTATTGCTCAGTGTGAAATGACCTGATTCTTGCTGATATTACCCTATTAACTGCTTTAACTTTCTTTTCAGTGATACATTTAGGGTGAAAAAATCACCAAAAAGATCCCCACTCTCTGATCCTCCTTCTCAGGTAAAGTACTGCCTTATTTTGATGTGTGTTGTTTGTGTTCCTGTAGGGGCAAAAAAGGGAAATTTGATTTTATTTAATTGTAGAATTGTATATTTAGTGACAGAAGAGGTTTCTGTAAAGAATATGAGGATATTGGTGTCTAAGTACAGCACATTGGGCAGTGATCTTAAAGTACTCACTTTTTGGTCTCTAGAAGCATGTATACAGTGTACATTAGAGCTAGTATTTGCTCTGGGAATTCCAGTTAGACTACAAGTAATTTGGAAAGTCCTGTGATACAGTGGAACAGTGATGTGAATAAATATCTTTAATCAGTTGTCTGATAAACTAGACGTAACTATCCACCTGGGAATTTTTAGATTAGAAGGTAAAAAACTAAATGCATCAAATTGGTGGGCTGGAGGGGAAGCAGACATGAAACAAGTGGGCTGATCTACCAGGAGCAAGTGCTTGGAAGGTTTCATTCCTTGTTGTAAACTGCTGGCAGGTGGTTTCCTTGGAAGAGAAGTTAACGAGAGCTGTTCTGCCTACAAAGGCCTAACTGCTTTGACGTGGCACAGCTCTTTCCATGCTGCTGTTCATCTTCCTGGTATCCAGCCCACCCTTTTATTTCTGCTGCTTGACAGCACAGAAGTGAAGAAAGGGTTCATGACCTCGCAGACCTGTGAAGGTTTGTTGCTGTGAGGAAAGCCTAAAAACTCAGTTTTGGTAGTCAATTACTTCAGTCATGGGTGATGTGTGCCACTTATGTCAAGTGCCTCACAGATTTAAATGGCTTCTTTTTTCCTTGCTATCCAGGCAGCTTTGCAGTGTGAGTGTTTATTATCAAAGAGTTTAGCAACACTGGGAAAACCTGCTGCTTGTAGAGCTCTAAATTAAGTACCTCAATATTTTTTGTGAAGTATTTCATAAAGAGCTGCAGCAAAGTGTGCAGAATTAAAAAGATTACTGTGGTCATGCAAACGAATTCAGACAGTTAATTATTCAACATGTTGATGAAAGATAATAGAATTAATTGGCAGTTGTCTTCTGCAGGATCCCACTCCACTGCCTACTCCAGAAACACCTCCTGTCATATCCACAGTGGTTCATGCCACAGATGAGGAGAAACTGGCATCTTCAGTGACCAGCCAGAAATGGACCTGCATGACTGTGGACCTGAACACAGATAAACAGGATTACCCACAACCATCTGACCTGTCTACGTTTGTAAATGAGACTAAGTTCAGCTCTCCTACAGAGGGTATGCTTCAGAAAGGACTGTCTGCTTCCAGCTTATGTTGTGTTTATTGAGAGAGGGGGTTTGGTTTGTTCCAGGATATTGGTGTGCACTTTGCTGAATGCAAACTGTGTTATTTGGGAACTAAAAAATTATACTCTTTGGACCAGTCTGGAGAACTTGGCACTTACAGGGAGCTGATGGAAGACCCTAACAGTATGACCATGAATTTTGAAGAAAGAGCAGAGAGGAAGCTTAAAGGGAGATGGAAGGGACCTTAGGAGAAAGGCTTTTGCTCCCTTTGTACAGTTAATTGTAGACGTGCTCTGTTCTTCTGGGCATGCTCCCTGTTCTCTCTGTGCCTTCGTGGGAGTCTGGGGGCTGATACTGCTCTTGGTTAGTGCTCTTGGATCCAGAGTCACTCAGCTACTGATTTTGCCTGAGCCTGTTTCTCTAACTTGCATGAGAGAAGGTCCCAGGCTGAAATTCTGCTCCTGGTTTGCGTGTTGCGTTACGACCCTTAATGCTCCAGGTTCCTAGGATCTGAGTACTACTGATTTTGCCTGAGCCTGTTCCTCTAACTTGGATGAGAGAAGGTCCCAGGCTGAAACTCTGCTCCTAGTTTGCGTGTTGCATTACGACCCCTAATGCTCCAGGTTCCTAGGATCTGAGTATCTTTATGCATAAAAATGTCCAGGATACCCCCAATGTAAATAATTGTCATTCATGTGCCAGATAAAATTTCCTTCTAGATCAGCGTGCTAAGATTTTTACTGTCGTGCCTTCCTAGAAGCAGCTGGGAGCTAAAGCTGGAAGTGTCTGTTAAGAGAACTGTCATTCCAGGTCTGTGAAATGTGGAAGAGACAGGATTTGGAAGATTGGTGTGTGGCCTTCCTTGGGGTTACCAGAGGGAATACTGCTTTGCAACATCTGCTCCAAGGGCAGATTTTCAGCTTTGTGGGTGGGAAGAATGTATGAATTTAACTTGGCTTAAACTTTTAATTCTTGATCAGAATTTATTTTTTCCCCCCCCTAACCTTTCAACCCACGTCCTGACCTACCATTAAAGCCACTTTAGGCCATTTTAAATGGGGTCTGAGGAATTTTGGCCTCGTTAAGAACTGCTGAGCTTTTAGGTCAAATGTATTTGACATTCAAAGGCAAGAATAATCAGAGTTGTTTTAATGGGGCTGCACATGTGCCTGTGCTTGTGTGGCTGCATGGCCTGGGCTTTTGGGGAATCTGTTGAGTCCTCTGTAGAGATAAGTATTTCAGTCTGTGTAAATCCATTTGGCTTTATTGTCAAATTATAAATTTTAGACATCAATTGCCACTTCATTTGTATAAAAAAAAGGCAAAAAAAAAAAGGTAAAAAAAAAAAGCCAACTTAAGAAATACTTTTTGGAAAATAAGTCCCACCATCTGGAAAAATGGAAATTACATGGAAGGAAATGGAACAAAAGAATAGTGAGAAAGACTTTAAGGCAATCATTTTAGCTATCAAAGTGAGTAGAAGAAAGTGAGCAAGGCTCCTAATTAAATGCTAATTGTCTTGTCTCCTGTGTGCTGCATGGCAGAGCTGAGTTTCAGATTACATGCTAATTAGAATCAACAATGCTTCCACTTCTCAGGTCTCTGAAAAATAATAATTTTTTTTCCCTTGATATTCTTGCTCCTGCAGCATTGAGAAATTTTTTTAGTAATTCCAGAGCTGCTCCTCAGAGCAAATATTTTTACCCCTCCCAGACACTCGTAGGAGTGTTGTCCTGTAACCTAACACAGGTTTAGTGCAGCCTGAGCCAGCCAGTGCTCCCAGCTCTCATCTGTTGCATGTGCTGCTTAGCACTGCTGCCTTTTTTGTGTGGCACAGACCAGAAATAAGCAGTAATTATTAGCAGAAAATTCTGATGCCATCTTGCAGCTATTTCTAGGAGGAGCTGGAGGACATCACTTAGTAAGTCTGTTGTATCTATTCATAAAAGATAATTATCTGACTTCATGGGTTATCCTGGGTGTTTGTCACTTTGAATGTATAGAGATGAGCAGAGCCCAAGGTTTTGGAAGGGAGATGATGTCTTAGACCCTACCTCCTCTCCCAGGTATCTCTTCTAATGGTGTTGGAAACTTCTGAGAGCAATGAGATGAGGCAAACTGCATCTAGCAAGCTGAGCTCCTCCTTTTCTTTCTGCCTGAAATATTTCCATCTGTGTCCTGCTTTTTTTTTAAATCAGGAAAGTTAAATATGTATTGTCCCAAAAGTCAGTTTGGGTTGGAGCTGCAAAGCTGCTACCAGCAGCCCTGCAGGCAGATGGAAGATCTGTGCTGGCACAGCCAGCAGAGGACAGTGCTGGAGCATCTCCTGCCCAGGAGCACACAGGCTGTTCTCTGGGGTTGTAAAGCTGCCCCAGAAGGGTTCATGATGCACCTCACTGGGCAATGTGTAGGTAAAGGAAACTCAGGCAGTTACTGGACACTGGATGCTGTTGTCTGGCGTTTCATGCTTCATCCTGCAGCTCTGCATCCAGTGGGTGGTTTGAATCTCATCGTTTTGGGTTTGCTTTCACTAGGAGCAAGCTTGTATCTGATACCAGGAGGTTGTCCCTCTTGCCTGGCACCTGCTGCCATTGAAAACATGCAGTGCTAGGAACTTAAACGTGAGGAGCCTGCTGTTGTTACAGCTTTCTCTTCACCTCAGCCTTCTATTGGTATCTCCCACATGTCAGGTTCTGAGAGTTTGTGACTGTTCCTCTTTAGTGCTTGTTTGACAAAAAACATTGACTTATATGGAATTATATAAGTACCCTACAGTGCTTTTTATTATCAAAAATTTTGAGCACCATAAATGCACATTGGACTCTTTGAAGCTTTTTTTTTTTTTTTGAACAAAACAGGTAAGAGATTGTCTTTAGGGTTGGTTTATTTTTAAAGAACAAAATTATTAATGATAGTTCCTGTCTTCCTGATACAGGCCCTACTTTTCCAAAGCTGCTCAAATCTGGAATGATTTTAGCACGTACTTTTATCATAATTTAAATGCTACTGTGCCATTCATTAGAACTTATCTATAATGGAAATGAAATTACACAGTTGGGTTATTGAATGAACTCATGGGAACAGAGTAAAATGCAGCATTACAACAAATTAATTATGCTTTTAATTTTTAAATTGAGGTGTCATTGAACAAAGCCTTTGCTTTTATTTGGGTGCAGGAAGGTGTGCTCTCTTTTCCATTTTGCTGTGTTTTATCTGTCTGCCTCTGTATCAGCTACTGAGGGGCCATGGATTGGAAAGAAATGCTGGTTATTCCCTCCAGTGTAATTAGGAGATCAGAAGTAGGGAAGCAGTAAAGATTTGCATTTTTAGTAGGGTTTAGATTTAGGGTTCTCTGTAAATCTTCTTGCCTTAGACTTGGCATCTGAACCTAAAATATGAAGACAGCCCAGTAAGCTGGGCTGTTGTCTCACCCCTTGTGCAGTGGGCATACAGGTATTCTATGTATCTTTTTATCTTAAGTGATACCACAGTATTCTTTCTTAATGAAAAATTGTGTAATAAACATTAAGAAATAGAAATTACTTCATTTCTCAACACCTTTTAAAATCTATATGCATGTGTTAAAGGAAACTGGTATCAGCATTACCAGTTACTGAAAATATGTTTTCTGTGATAAGATAACATGATAGAGGAAAGTTACCTGTGCTCTGCAAGCACTCTGAAACTTTCTTCATATTCTGATCCCTGGGCCAGAATCTTCAGCAAATTGATAAAGCTGAAATTTTTCAGCCAAATAAATTTGCCTGAAATGTGCCATTGGTTCACTGGTGAAAAACAGTGCACCTTCTGCTTTCTCTCTGTATATTCTATTTGTAATGCCTCATAGAAAGTATTGAGCAGACTGGGAGAGGCCCTTGTAAATGAGGAGAGATCTCATTTACTTCTGCAAAAGTCATTTCATGGCATGCAGTTAACAACTCTTTTGTTTCTGTTGCAGAATTGGAATATGGCAACTCATATGAAATAGAATATATGGAGAAAATAGGTTCCTCTGTGCCTGTAAGTCCTCACTTCCACTTCCATTCATTTGCATTCCCCTGTCATAATATACTATCCTGATAATGCCATCAGCCTCACTGTCCCTGAAATTAATTATTATGTGCCTGCAGCAGATTTGCAGAACCAGTTCCTTTAAATTGGCATAACGGGGGTAAATTAGGTGTGCTTTGTTGTCCTATACCCTGTAGAGCTTGTTCTATTTATTTTATTTTTAAGCTAGCATCGTAGTGATTCCTTCTGGAGATGAAAAGCAGATCAGTATTTACAGCAGTGTAGAGTACAGAGCTGTCTACAGCAGCTGTTCAACTCCTTTAAGAAACTGAGAGTAAACCTTTCCAGAAGATGGAGGGAATCAGGAGAGAATACAGAATGAATGTGAAATAGGAATGCAGTACTGTAGGTTATCAGTTGTTTTGCCTTACTTTTACTCCATTCATGGATTTGATGGCTTGACTAGATCCAATGGGAGTATATCCACAGGGGAAGTTAGAAAAATCAGGCATGTCAGGTGCTTAAACTGATGGGAGGTTTCAGTGACTATTTTAGCAAGACTTTCAGTCAAGGGATGCTCTCCAGGACCATAAATCTGATTAAGCCTGAAGTGGGAGAAGAGCTGTTGCAAAGAGTGAAGCATTTAAGTTTTGTTCTTTAATGGCTTCTTCCTTAAAGGGCTTATCTGAGTATCAGTTAGCATGGGCTGTATTACAGTCCTCTGTTATTAGTTGTCTGTCAAGTCATTTGGTCACTTACAGCTTCAGTGACCTGAATGAGCTTTCATGGCAAATGGTTGAGTTGCTTAATGAGTCTTTCTTTTCCTGTTGCCAGCAGGATGACAGCACCCCGAAGAAACAATCTTTATACCTAGTGTTTGATGCACAGCAGGAGAGCCCAGTCAAATCCCCTCCCCTCAGACTGTCTGATTCCACCACACCGTGCTCAGGGTACGTGACTACGAGCCAGTGCAGCACTGCAGAAGGGTGCCAGGGAAATGGGTTCCCATCAGAGCAGTTCTTCCTCTCTCTGCCTCCTGTGGTTGAGTTGTTTGTTTAAAAATAGATTCCCATCTGTGTACACATATGATAGAGAATAGAGGGCAATAAGGACATATATTTCTCCTTCATATTCTTAGTAGAGTCACAGTGGCAACTGTTTCACTAGACAATGACTTCCCACTACAGTTTTTTTCCCTCAGCTGCTGAGGTGATTTTTATGTCAATCTAGAAATCTCTGAATTGCAGCTTTTCACTTGGCCTTTCCTAGATACATTTGCTGAACAAGGAGTCTAGTTCATAAGAACAGGATGTGGGGGTTGTAGTTACTTCCAAAAATCCTGCTTCTTAAGGACATCTGGTCTTGTTAGTAAGAGCTGTTTGTTGGGAGCAGTGTAGGTCACAGTGAGAAAGGGGTAAAAAGGCAAGTGAGAAATATTTAAGGAATGTGCCTAACATTTGTGGTGGACCTGGTTTTATCTAGATGACTCTGGTGCATTGCTTTGAAAGGATATTGCAAAGTGTTATGAGATCTAATGATATCAAGTTGAGTTGAAACAATGAATGTAATGAAGAGGACTTGCTTAGTTATGGGAAGCAGAACTGTAATGGCCTCGTGCTCCACCCTGGAAGCATGCACACAATCTTTTTCCAGGTCAAGCTTTGAAGACCCTGAATCCCAGCAGTCCTCTGGAATGAAAATACAACATCCAGCTTCCCGAGTCCTAGCTGCCAGCCAAGAGGCACACTTACAGTCTCCTGACAAGGCAAAGCAGAAAGACCTGGAGCCCATGACCCTAGGAACAACTCCAGAGGCTATTGAAATAGTAAGTAGTTTGTGATAAGAGATTGGGAATCATTTTCCTGCAAAAATTTCTCATGTCATAGAACTAGCAGCACAGGTGGATCCTGAAAGTGAAACTCAACCTGATCTATCTTGCTAGCAGCATGTGGTGGGACCCAAAAGAGGGAGGTAGGTTGATGGAACTGCTGGAATTCAGAAGAATTTTCTAAACTCTTACTGTAGCTTAACGTGTGCTTGTGATAACTTCTTCCAAGTTGACACTTTAAAGTGCTTTTATTCTCACACAAGCCTTTTTACATGTGTAAAGCCTTTTTACTTTGTGCTTTAACACAGTATTTAAAGAAATAATTTTGATATAAAAAAAGGGGTTTTATAGAACAACTCATGTCTCTGTTTAAGTTGTGTGTACTGTGAAATTTCAAAATTTATTTGGTAAAGAACAGGTGCCCTTTCACAGTTTCATATAAACTGTTAACTGTGTTGTTGTCACCTGATACTGATAATGTACAGTTCACTTTTTTGATGACTGGAATTCATTCCAGCTTCCAGTTAAATCACTTTTTTTTCAGTGGCTTCTCTGGGTTGGACTGGAATTGGTGGTGAGCCCTTCTGTGCTTCCAGCCTGTGCTACTTACAGACTTTAGAGCACTGGTTCTCAAATTCATGAAGGTTCCTTCAAGGCCTCCACTTTTCCAGGCAGACTTGTTTCACAAATGCCCTAGGCATGCTAAGATGTATGAGTATTTACTGAGTATATTTACTGAGGAGTCTAAACAAGGAGTAACTTACTTTTATACTGTGATTAATTTTTATTAATGATCCTGTTGATACCATGTCACAAAACATTTTCTTATGAGCTTGAATACTTTTCTCACTGCAGGGAGTCTTGGGTACTCAAATCCCAGTGATCTTGGTTTTGTCATTCCAGTTCTGTCAACCCTCATATTGTGTGTTTATCCTGATGATGTTTTAATTGTGAACATAACTTAGTTTATCCCCAGTAAGCAGCAAAAGACTTTGTAAAGACTGCAAAAAGAGTCTTGCTGAGGTTCCCCTCAGTTCTGGTGGTCTTCAGAGGTTTTGGACTGCCTCAGAGGTGCCTGAACTGAACATTAACTATTGTATGAACAAAACCTATAGTAACTGTTTGAAAACTATAGTAGAAGTACTGAGAGTGGGCTGTGGTCCATGATTGAGACCAGTTGCTTTAGAGGTCCTAACTTTATTAACTTCATTGTTAGTCTTGGAATATTTACTCAGCTTTTAAATTAGGTATAATGACTCTTGATGTTTATCTGTTAGACCTATGAACAGTATATTTCAAAGTAATCTCCAGTGGGGCATGACACTACTAGGAATCAAAGATTCACAGACACATGTGTTGCTTTTGGCCTGATCTACTTGGGCAAAATCTCTATTGCTTATTCTATATCCTCCTTACCCTTTAGACATCTCCTGAAGACTCCTTTGTCTCTGCTGATGCTCTTCTCAATAGGATATCTAAGAAAACCTCAATATGTGATCAGCCTGAATATCTAGATCCTGACTTAGCTGAAAAGAATCCCCCAGTATTTGCTCAGAAACTTCAGGTTTGTAGCAGAAATATAAATGTCACTTTTCTTTGAGTTTGGCTCTACACAGGTAGAGGAATGCTTTGCCTCATCTGAAAGGGGTGTGGGGAGGCTTGAAGGGGAGGTGGAAAAGAAGCAAAATAATTATTTGATCCTTTCCAAAGTAACTTGGGCCTCTCAGGAACATAAGGAACAGAGATACTTTAAGTTATATAATACCATAAACTTATATTTCATCAACACTTTCTGCTATCCTATACTACTGATGTATATATATATTTTGCAGAGGTCTTTATAAAGCAGATCTTTTAAGCTTGAACACAGGACTTGTGTGGAGAGTTGTCTTGGCACCTGGCTGTAGTAGGTCTGTATGCATAGATTGATTTTCAGAGATTTAGGCCCTAATTCTGCTGAAATGAAAACTGGGCTTTGTTTTTCTAGTAGTCTAGCTAATGCAGAGTTTGGCATGGCTTCTTTTGGGAAAAGTAAAGTGATCTGCCGACCAGTGCTCTATGTCAGGACAGGTTTTGTAGAATATTTATAGTGAAACTTTAAAACAGCAAAGGTTGAATTGAGACTGACAGCTGGTGTAAGTCCAGATAAAATGAAAATGAAAGGAGAAGAATCCGTGAGAAACAGTTTTAACTTTGGGAAACATTTCTTTTACCCAAAGCATCGTTCCTACATACTCCTTAAAAATTGTCTGTTCAGCTAAAAAAACTGAACAAAACTTGGAGTTGTGTATCAATGATACAGGATGTGTTTGTCACCCAGGGTTTGCCAGAATTACACATTAAAATATTAACATTCCATTTCTGAATGTCTCAAGCATTTCTGCTGTGTTCTTAATACATTTTTTCCCGTGGATTGCTCACAACCAAACACATGACAGGAGGAGTTAGAGTTTGCTGCAATGAGGATAGAAGCCCTGAAGTTAGCCAGGCAGATTGCCCTGTCTTCTTTCTACTCCGAGGTACCCGTTTTGTGCCTGCTCTGTGTGTGTGTGTGTGTGCACAGACTAAGAAACAGAGTGCTGCTTTTTCTTTAACAAGGTAACTGAGGCTCTGGGAGTGCAGTGTGAAGCTGTGTGCACCTCGGGGTGACACCAAAGAGCATGCTGAAAGCAGCACTGCACACAGAAACCCTGTCACTGCTCCACTCACAGAGTGCTGCTGTGTCCAGCTTAACACGAGGTGAATCTGAAGGCAAGAAGCAGCATGTGCCTTTAACAGGAGACTGCTTCTGCAGTCCAGGTGGCTTTTTGTCTGTGGCAAGATTTGTCCTAAAATGTTTGATGGCAAAGCAATACCAAGCCTGTTTCTTACAAGGCTATTTTAGGTTTTGACCATAGGGACTTTTTGCCTTTTGTTGGTGTTTTCAGCTTGAAATGAGACACCTTGACCCTCAGAGTTTAGAAGTGAGAAATGAAATCAACCCTGCCTTCAGGCATCTGAAGAAAGGGACTGTGGCAGGTTTGGAAGGGCTATAAAACTGCCAAGGAAAAGAACATCTCTTTATTCTTGGAGATCTAAAAGGGTTTTTTCAGTGCTACTTCCAGGTTCCTGTGGCTAGTTCCACCTCAGAGCAATGCTTTGCATTGCCCTAGAGATGCATGTGGTCCCTGTGTGCTTGAAGTGAGATGGAAAAGCTTGCTCTGATGAGCTGAGGTTGGTGGTTAGCAGTGGCACAGCCACTGTACAATGCCCTTTGTGGTACTTTTAACAACAAAGTCAAGTCAGAAAGGCTAGCAGCTTTCTTGGGAGGTGGTGTCAGTTGAAAGGGCTGCTGGCAGGATGGCAGTGAGACATTTTATTCCAAATGAGGAGAATGTGCTTCTGACATGTCCTTCTCTAGTGACCTTTCTCTTCTGCTGTCCAGTAACAAGTCAGTGGGAAGTGTTTTGCCTGACCCTGTATCATCTGGAGTTCATTGCATCATAACATTTGAGGCTGGTTATAGGGTAGAATTTCTTGGTGCTTTAAATTAACAAAGTCATAAAGTAGCAGGTGATCATAAAGTAGCAAGGTTTTTTTTAGATAAACTGTACTTTTATGAAAAAATACTGATTTTATTTGATTTATTTTGCTTATCTTAAATAGCCCATGAGCCAGCTGTTTCCATGGTGCACATATACTTACTGAAGGAAACTCATTCCCTGCAGATTTATGGGTGTGTTAAAGTAGGAGGCTATCATCTTTTATTTAATCAGGAAAAACTCACTGTTGTCTTCATTAGAAAACAAGCTTAACCTTCTAATTAGGAGCAGAAAGAACAAAGGAAAAAATAAATACCACTTTCTTGCATGGGTACTGGGCTGTGTGTGGCTGTGTCCCCTTGCTTCATTGCCTTGAGTGGCAGGGGTCAGGAGAGGGTGAGCTGGCATCCTCTGTAGATCCTGTCTACCCCTTTGTCCTCTCCAGCACCACAAAACCCTCAAGATAAAACATGTAATAATACCTAGATGCTCATCACAGGTTATACAAAATACTTCTGTAGGCATCTGCATTTTTGCTACTAGCCAGCAGTTGAGGAACTCACAGATTGCCCCTTTTTAGACTGAAGAGAACAGTTGTATGTTTGTGAATTCTTGTGAGCTACCCAGGAATGATTCTGAGCTGCACAAGTGTTGTAGTGTGTATTGGATTATTTGGAGTTGTATTTTAAAGATGCTTTTCTAACATCATCACAGCATTTTCTTTTATCGAGAGTGAGTTTATGAACTCCTTAGAACTTGGAAAGAGGGAGTGGATTCCATGTAACTTCAGAAAATGCCATTAATCTTATGGCAAAGATAGCACAAATGATAAGCAGAGATAAGGAGAGAAAAATCAGCAGAACTCCACCCTCTGACAGAGAACCAGTAACATTTTGACAGCCACAAAGCCCTGTGTTGGTCCAGTCATAGGAATGCTTTAAGGTGAACACGGTGGGTGTCATGTCAGGCTGGGGAGGACTTTTATCCTTGCATGACTTCACTATTTGAGTGAGAGGTTGTAGCCTTAAATTAGCCTGTGATGAGAACCCTTGTGACCTACAGTGACTGATGGCCTGGATTAACTATAATAGGATCCACCAGACAACTGCAGTGACTTAAATTCAGATGCTAACGGGCAGAATTCCCCACTGGCTGACTGGCCTCACTTCTTTTCTTAACGTTGAATAATTACATTTAACATTTGCTAAACCATTACAGAATGGGTAATAAGAACAGGGTGCTAAATCAAGACACACATCACTTGTTCTGGTAAGTTAGGTCACCTGAAAAAGGTTCAATACAAACATTTTCTGCTAGCACTAGGACTGAGAATGAGGGTGTGCAGTTTGTTGTTCTCAGACAGAGGGAAGTTATTTGACCACTCCCAAAACATCTTGTCACAGACTTTTAACAACAGCAGGACTAGTCATCTACTTTTACATTGCCAAAGATTTCAGTTTTCCAGTGTTGAGATGAATTAATCTTCTGTGTTAAACAGTCTCCATTAGGATGTCCTCTGGCCATTTTTTTTATAGGTCCAACAAAAAGCTGGTAGGGTTTGTGTCCACCACCCTACACATGCTGAGGGAATGTAGAATTGAGTGTTGAAATAAGATCCAAGGAAGGGGGAGAAACTAAAAAGAACAGCATCAGGAGCAAATGGGGTTAGTGCATCATGGCTCCGGGGGGGTCTCATGGTAGTGAAGGAAGAATGTTTCCTTCAAACAGGGATACCATTTTTCTAGTAGAACTCCAAGCAGAGAACTTAAGCTTGGCTTTTACATGCTTTTCAGTATATTTGCAAGCACAAATAGGTCTTGCTTTGCCTCCATTGACCTGTCTGCACACACATCAATTAGTTAAGAGTAGGTCATTTGATACACCCACAAGCAGTATTTGAGTGCTTGTGAAGGGGAAGCAAATTTTCAGCAGGGCTAAAAAAAATACTCCACTGAACAGTATGAAAAAAAACTAGTTTTCATTTTCCTTCCAGTCTTTCTCTGTTTTCTTTCACCTTGATCTTCTTGAAGCGTGGTAACTGCAGCTGATTAATTGATGTTCATTTATTCTCTTTCTGGTCAAATATCTGGTTTCTGTGAAAAATGCTGGGAATAGAAGAGGCAATGCATTGGGCTCTCAAATATTTACACTAAGATTGCAGTGACCTACATTTAGTAGTAATTCCCATGCAGAATCTAATCTTTCTGTGCAAGGTTCAGTGGCTTACAAATCCCTATGCTTATTATTATCCCAATTAACTCCTTACCTTCTCAGCAATTAGGTGCTGAACTTAAAGCATTGACAGGGTTATTTTGGGCAATACCATCATCCTGTTGGTCAGGTTTTGTTATTTTCTCAGAATAGGAATATTTGGAGGCAACAAATAAACCTTAATAAAATGTGCATCAGTTTGGAGCTGTGTAAAATTGGCTCTTGAAGTAAAGCCAGGAGGACTTCTACTGGTTGCTCCTGCCAAAGAGCCCAGTTGTGATACCTGTGAGGTGTTTCCAGAGTTAGGAAAATACTGGTTGAACCACTACCACAAGCATTTCTGCTCAGTGGCTGAATTCTAAGAGTTTTTACAGTCATCTGTGGAAATTTTAAGTTGTTTTGCATGTCATTATTACTATTCTTTTGTACTATTTTCTCAAGTGCAAGAGAGAACTAAAGACATAACTATATTCATGAGGTGTTGAGCACTATATAAAAAATATGCACAAGTATGTAGCAAGTGCTTTAAATGTTCTTTTTTCTTTAAAAATTTTAATCATCCTGGCAGTTCATTTGACACGTTTTTATATGAGCTTGAGGAAATTTGTGTTTCTTCTGCCACAATTAATATTTTCCAGCAATCTCTCTCTGAGTTCCAGCAAATGAAGCTGCAGGAGGCTTTTGAAATAGGATACATACAGTTCAACAGATAAATCTTCAGGCTGGCCTTTCTTTTGAGGACTGCTTTGATGATCTAATGGCTCTTTTTTATCTCTCAATTATTCTTCCCTTGTGTCTGAGGAGGAACTAAAGTATGAGTGTTTTCAGTTGGGATACTGAGTGGAGCCAGCAGTAGTCTAATTTATTGCCTGTTTTACCTTTGCTCCCATCTGTGGACAGCACCATATGGTTTTGTATTTATGCATTTACATAAATGTCTGAGCTTGTGTCCCAGATGTATTTTTGCCCTGCATGGTTGTTTTACATTGGGAGATACTTTCAGGAATACAGACTATGGAATTTTGACAGATCTTGCAATGCGTTTTGCCCAGGTAGGAAAATCCACCAGATTCCAGCATGCACCTCCTAACTATATTGGAATTTATCACTATTTTGTGTGTTCGTGGTTAAATGTAGCAAAAAAAAAAAAAGGAAGGGATGGTCTGCTCCTGAAATGCTAGAAGTGATAGTCAACTGACTCCATGTTTAGAATGAACTAAAAATAGAAAGGAAATCAGTGAGAGTCTCTTTGACACATAAAGAAGCAGGAATGTGCTTTGTAAGTACTGCTTACCTTATTCTTGGTCTAATTCAATTTTCTTGCCTGCTCCTTTAATGTTCCTGGTGTGAGTTCTTCATATTGTCTACAGATGTGATATGCAGAACATCTAGTCCTCTGAGTGAGCATCATATGTCATTTTTCATACAGCTCCTTGAATAAGGTGTGATGTGAGAACTCAGAAAGGATTGCAAAAAACAACAGTGGGTTTGGATCCTTTCTGTTATTCTAGGCTGCAGGAGAAGAACCATGAACAAGGGAATGATTTATGGAATAGCACCTGTCAAAAGTTCCTTTAACTGTGTTGAAAGAAGCACGTGGTGTTGAAATTAATGAGGTCTGTCTGTGTGCACGTTGTGAGAGGAAGACTGAGCCTTGACTTGGACATTATCTACTCACCTTCACATTCCAGCACTTCAAGCAGTAGAATGTGACTGTTTTATTTAAAAAACAAGTAAACAAACAAAAACAAAACAACAAAACACCCAAAGCCCCAATCCTCTTTTCCAACAAAATAAAACATTTTTCTCTCTTTTATGTAAAAATCATAAAAACCCCTCTTGATCACTACTCTTAATTATTGCAGATAAAGCCTAAAGACTCAAGTACTGTGTCAGTGAACTTGAAGGAGCAGAATCTGTTGCTTTATGCACAGAGATGACAACTGGAAAAATGTGTTAGCCCCTTTTCAGCAGCTAGGAAGTGCTGCACCAGAAAAGCTGTAGGTGAATATCCATTCCCATCAGTGGGTGGAAAAAGGCACTGATCAACCTGACTTCCCACCCACACAAGCTGTGGGCTGTGGTCCAGCCCTCTCAGTGGCTACGTGTAGCCTCATCATAGAGACAATTTTAGTTGTCATGAGACCCACTGAAAATGTCTGCTACTGAATCTGCAGGTTAAATTAAAAACAAAATAAAAATAATTCTGTAATTGAAACTGTAGTTTTGTGTCACTTGGTTTAGCAAGTGACATGAGAGGAATTTCTAGGCATGTGTCCCCTCCCTGCTGAGGTCAGTGCATTTGAATGTTCTGTACCACGTGAGGTATCTTTTTAGGTCACAGAAATTCAAGGAATTCCAGCCATACTCAGAGACAAGAGCTTTTGTATGAAACTTCTTTTGGTGGAAGTATTTCATAAGAGAAAGGAAAATACTGAAGTGGAAGAGCACACCCCTGGCCAGGGCTAAGCCTGTCTTCCCCCACGGTGCTACCCAGGGTGAGGTGCTGCCTGGGGCAGTGTGGGGACCAGAGTGGCTCCTCAGCCTGTGGAGATGCTCTGGCTCCCAGGACTGTCCCAGGGGTGACATAGCCTCTGCCTGTGCAGTGTAGTCATGGGGGTCTCAGCAGTGCATGGGCAGAGGAGATCCCCTTTGTCTGCTCAGAGCCTGGAAAAAAAAGATCTCATTGAGATGCTTCTTACCAGTAACTTGCTATGTTGTTTGGTTTCTATGAAGATTTCATCTTGTCACAATTTTTTTTTTTTTTTTAATTTAGATTCTGCAGCCTGTTTAGCTCCAGTGTTGTAAGGGAGCAGTGTTCTGGTGATGGCCATGGTGTCTGTACTGTCAGCCCCTCTCCTCGCTGTCCCCAGCAACACTGAGTCCTTTCACCAGTTTCATGCATATTTAGCAGAGAAGTGGAACATTAAACAGGGCTATGGTCACCTCCACCCCCAGAATTATTTTGTCACCCACCAGCAGCTGAGAGAAAGAGCATTTTGTTTCCCAGACCACCAGAGGCAATACCCAGCTGGGTGGTCAGCACGTACATCTTAGCTGGTTGATGGTGAGATGCAAACCATAGGTGGGGGACACAGGGACACATCTGCTGCAGAGGAGCCTGCTCTCAGGGCATTGCTTCAGATGGTATCTAAAAATGTGGGTTTTGATTAGTGTCTTCTGCCCTGTCTTTTATAATCTTGGATTTGATGTGCTGTAGCTTGGACTGTCTGTAGCCAGTGTGGTTTGCAGGACACCCTGTGTGTCTTGGTGTCACAGCTCTTCTCTGCTCTCTTCCTCATGTCACAGGCTGCTCCCCTCCCTTGATAATCTGGGCTGCTGGCATGAGCAAAATTGACAGCTACAAATAAAACCTCATTTAACTTACTAATGGCATGCTAAATACCAGTGGGGCAGGAACTTCACTAACACGTTCACATCTTTTATGTGATGCTGTTTATGGCAGGGGTGCTGTATTGGCAGGTCAGACTAAGAGAGTGAGCAGTCCTCTTCCTTCTGGTTTCTTGATCTGTTTTTATGGAAGCAGAATTCCCCTTAACAAGCTCTCTGCCTCCAACTCTAATTTCCTTTGCTGATCTGCATTTCTTCTGGATGTTTTGATGAAATTTCTCCATCAGAAAGTAGTAAATTTTCTCACATAGGACCTTAAAATATTGATGGCAAAGTGCTGTCTTTATTTTCTCTATAGAAGGATAATATGGCTCTCTTGGTGCTTACTATGGATCTTAAATGGATATTTTATGATTGCTAAATTCAGATTTCCCTGTCACTTTTATGGCTGTTATAATTTAGTAGTACACAGGATTCTAGGCCTAGCTGAGGACCCAGGTGATCTAGCACTACACCCAGAAAACAGATGAGCTAAACACACATTTAATGCCTCGTTTCTTTGTATTTAAAAAACCAAACACACAGAGAGAACCTGCTATCCCAGCAGATGTGTCCATCTCCAAAAGCACACTCTACTCCCGGCTGGGCGCCTCGGATGCAGAAAGCCCCACGGGACTCCTCTACCCCCAGCAGGACCTGGACTCTGCACTGCGACTGGCCAGAGCAGAGGTAATTTGCTTCAGAACTTGGAAGAGGAAATGTCTGCCACTGGGGGCTTCCTTTTTGCCTGTTTTCCCCCGAGTGCTTCATATTACAAACCCTTGACCTTCACTGTTTCTAACTGTAGATGTACTCTGTGCATCTTTACATTACTGTATAATTCCATAAAAATTGTAAGATGCTAGAAACAGGAATAAAGTTATGTATTTTACAAAGCTACATATAAGGTAATCATAGCTAATAATAATTAGAATATGGGTACAGTCTAGTGTTATTCTGAACTGTATAATAGATTGTGTGAGCAAACGCAGCACAAAAGAGCAAAATCCTTTGGGTATTAAATGCCATGGACAGTCAGCTCTAGGTACACCTGCAGCAGCAGTAGGAGCCCCTTAGGGGACAAATCAGGGGACCATGCTCCAAACCCCTGTACAGAGGTATTTCAGGTTTGCCCCAGGTCACATCAGACATGGTGTAATGTAACATAGTACTTCTTGAGAAGGGTCCTTGTTACAGTCAGGGATGAAACAAGAACGTTGCATCTACTTTACTAAGTTAGTTTTTCAGAACGTGAGTATGGTTTCACATATGAACATTTTTAATTGCACCTTGCAGTCTGAAAAAGAAAAATTAATCACTGGGGATGCTTATATGTGAACCCCTTATGCACTTGAAAACTATACCTCTGTTAATTAGGCTTTGATGTTAAATCAAATCATGCAGTTACTTAATTTCCTGTTTAATGGATCATTTGGATTCCCTTTTTGAAGTTTTTTTTTCCCCTTTTCTTCTTTTGTTCCAGATTGTGGCCAAGGAAAGAGAAGTATCTGAGTGGAAAGAGAAATATGAAGAAAGCAGAAGGGAAGTGATGGAAATGAGGTGGGTTAATAACTTGTCACTAATTACACTGACAGAGTGTGGTTTCAGCCTGTACCAGCATAGAACAACTGGTTTGGTTAACTGAGTTTTTTTCATTATTTTTTAACTGGAGGCTTTGGATTGATCCTAAACTGACACTTTGTCTTTGCTCTGCATGGTGGGGCACCCTTGTTCAGGGTAGTCATTGAAAACTTCTATATAGCTGATCTGATTTACATCCTCAAAATACCAAGATAAGAGTTGTCTTTAATATAGGTAATGTGAGGGAAGAACTTCCTCCAGATTGTGCTGTGAATTCCCACATGGACTGGCATAGTGTTGTTTCTGTTGCCTGACTGAATGAGTCTGCCCACAGAGCTGGCAGAGGTAGGCACATGCTGGTCTAAAATTCACTCTCCATTAATAGTTTTGCCAACAGAGGGAAGAATGTGGAAGTTTGCAGATAGGTATGAGTAGTACAGGCTCCCTCCACTGTAAAAAGTTCCCTTTAATAAGGAAAAAAGCCCAGCTGCCAGTAGAAAAACATCTCTTGCAAAGGAACTATTCTAGCCTCTGGGTATTGATGTTCAAGGAGATTCTACACCCTTTTCTTTGAGCTGAGCTGACTTTTTATAGTTAGTGCTCATACTAAGCTTGGTTTTAGTTAAGCAATGGTTATCTTGGATTTTGCTTCTCTGAGAGCTGACAAGATCCCTGAGCTTTTCAGTTTGTTGTAGTTGTATCTGTTCTATTTCTCCTTGCTAAACCTGCCTCTTTTACACTAAGTATCTGTATCCTGGAACATAACAGGACCTTCCTTCCCAGCCCAGGTCACTTGGAAGGGTGACAACAAAATCACTGTAGTGGATGAGGTGAGCAGTGTTGCTCAAAGGATCACTATTCCTTCCCATTTCATCAGTTGAAAGTTTTAGCCTTTCTTTTTTTACAGGGGTAATTAATACCATAAGAGTGACACATCAGTGAGCTCAACCTGCTCATCAGTCTGACTCTGAGTAGGTCATTGATGGTAAAAGAGAATGTAAAAATATTTCATGGAGTCTTTAAAAAGCCTATTTTCTAGCTTCAAACAGAAAAAAATCATCCCCTCCCTTAACTCATAAATAAAATTAAAGTATGCCAGATTATTTTAGCATCCTTCTTTTAAATAATAATTTCTGCAAATTAATTCAAAATCACTTCTGTTCTAGCACCAGCTTCTTCCCAAAATCAAGTATCTCAGTGGTTTAAAGCTAAAGCCAATGAGCTGTATGAAGTGATGATCTGCATATGCAATTCCTGCTTATACCCAGGAAGCCTGTACTTAGGGAGTAGGGGTGGAAGGGGAAATTGTGCTGCAGAACTCAGCAAATGCCAGCCTGGATGCCAGGAGTCACACGTGGCAGCCTTGCAGAGCAGCAGCACAGGGCTTTGAGCCAAAGCATCTTGAGAGAAGCATCTGCAAAAGGCAAGGGCAGCAGCTTTATTTCTTTCAGAAAACCATCTCCTGGCACCCAGCTGAGTTCTGCCACCTCTCTTGTGCTCTGCCTGGGAGAGGAAATCCTGGCGTAGCCCTCAAAGGCATAGTGAGGCAAAAGGAAAGGGAGCTGCTACAGGCAGAGCAAGGAAGAACAAAATCAGGGATTGTGAGAGGAACGTTTCAGTGTTCAGCACTCTCTGAAGAGCAGCACTTGATCCATTCTCGAGCAGCTGCCTGGGTGCATGTGTCTGCCAGCTGCAAATGAGCACTGACAGGGGTTGGTTATTCCTTAGGGAAAGGAGAGCAGGGGGTGACACAGAGCAGCTGGCAGCCTGTAGATCTGCACCTTCATCTTCCTCACAATTATTTGATTGCATGTCTACACCCTCAGTAAAATTTGATTTGTAAAAAATGCATTCTCTTAGCCCAGTGCCTCACATACCCATCCCTAGAACACGAGGGTGAAGAAAAAAAATCTGCCTAATTTCATCACAAAATGATAAAATATGCACACGTGCACAGAGAAAGAGGTCTCTTGGAAGATTAAATGTTGAAAGACTCCATGTGTGGTAAATTAGAGATGCAGCAATTAGACATGACATAATGATAAGCAGGGAGGTAAGGGATTATCTAAAATTGCAAGTACAAAAGCATCAGTTTCCACAGGAGAAGCAGTGCTCCTTTACTCGAGTCCTGCCTGCTCTAACTGGAATATCCTGAGTTCAGCTGAGTTTCCAGAAAAACATCTGGCTGGAGGAAATTCCACCCCAGAGAACAATAGCCAAGAGAAGTTATCATAACGTAATAACTACTGAAGAGCCAACCCAGGGTGGGCTGTACCATCATCCAACAACCACAACCAGAGGCAGGCAAGAAATATTGAAATATGGTTATTGGGAGGTCTAATTGATTTTGTCTCAATAAGAGGAGTCAAGTAGATGACCTCTGAGATCCTCTGTAGCCCTGGGTTTTGGTGGGTTTATGACTTAGGAAATTGCAGGAAGTCAATAAATAGACTGAATGTCTGAAATAGCAAAAGTTGAGCCTAGGCAGGATGTCAAGCTGGGGTTAGGATGTGCCATCCCAGAGGAATTGTGTAGCCAGCATCCTTTGGTCATGCTCATTGCCCTCAGTCCTCAGCATCATTTTCTGGGATAATAAAATGTCCTAAAGGTGCCTGGTGTTAGGAGGGTATGACATGGCTTTAAAGTCCTTATTGCTTACAGCAGGCCCTTGAGGTAATCTTCTTTGGACATGAAACCAATCCCTTCCTTTTAGGGGAACAACTCTTGTCACTATCTTTGCTCTGAAAAGTGCTGTGTGTAGGTTTGGAGCAGGCAGTGCTGGAGTCACCACGTTTGCTTTTCAGGAGCTATGCACGTTCCTCTGTTCCTTACTGACCTTTTTGTCTCAGGATTTTCCCACATCCTTTCTGTAAATCACCAACTGCAGCAGGATTCTCTAAAATGGAGCAAGTGGAAGCAAGCTAAGACTTCAAAAGAGATGTACTCATTTTGATTATCCACTTCAGATGAAGTGCAGGCTGATTTTAGTTTTCGTAGACAGTCCTACGTGGCTCATGAATCAAAGCACAGATCAAGCTAGTCTCATTTTATTAGCTTTATTTGGCTCTGGGAATGGATGGATCATCTTTCTAAAGCACATTTAATCTGCTTATTTTGGCTAACCTCTTTTCAAGAAGGAAATTCAAAGCCTACCGTGAGTATATGAAATAAAACAGTCTTAAAAGTAACTTTTGGCCACCTCGGTTTCAAAAACAATTTGGGGAAATAGGACACAATGGATTTTGTGCTGAACAATTGAATATCTTGGTCTTGTTCTCTAAAGTGCTAATGGATTATTTAGCCACATTTGGAGAGTGGAAGATTAGATATCTTTTGGGTGAGAGCCAGCTATGCTCCTGTTAGGTTTACTTGGTACCATTTACAGCTTTATTTAATGTTTATATTAAAAACAAGCAAACACAAGCATGGAGAAGAGAGGAGAAAGTAATGGAAAAATCAGATTCTTTTGTAACTCTTGAACTAGATCAGTGTGGTTATCCTTATAGTTAAAACCATGATTGGTTATGTATTTTAGGCATGTTTCAATTAACAGAATTTGTTTCAGAGGAAGCCATTTTTCCTCCCCCCCACCTATACTGATTTTCCATGGAGAAGCAGAAGTCTTGTGCAGTGTTTAAACTGACAGTTTTATTTGTTACCAAGGTAATCAGGAGCATATAAAAGTGTGAAGGGGTTCTGTATCTCTTTTAAAATACCATAGTCCAGTTACTGAGTAGCATTATTTTCTAAATAAGCATTAGCAATTATGATTGCCAAAAGCTTTTCCTTTTTTTTTTCTTCCCCTCTAACAGGAAAATCGTGTCAGAATATGAGAAGACGATTGCTCAGATGATAGGTAGGTGTTTCTACTCTGACAGATGCTGTCCTCCACTCTGATTTCCTGAATCATGGTTGAAGTCTGTGGGCTTCTTTTTGATGCCAGCCACATGTGCTGATGCTGCTGGGCATTGTGGATGCATCTGAGGACACCAGTGTGTGCTGCCAGGGCTCCATTTTACAGAAAGTAGCCTCCAAAGCAGTGCAGGTAATACAGTAGGGTCAGGGCTTTTCCTTCTGCATCAGTGCAGACTGTCCCATAGGGAACAGGTTCAAATGCCTTACCCAGAGTTCATGGATATCTCTGGGAGAGGTTTTTAATGACCTAAAAACCCTTCGGTCTCAGCTCCCAGCTGTTTAATGGGAGATACCAAACTTAGCTCTTTACAACAACAGGGATTATCTGTGCTAAGTACATCGGTCAGATCAAAACCTAGATTAACTCCAATCCCAGTTGAGAGATTAGGAGTGGCCAATCCACCTCCCCAGTTATTTACTGGCAGAGGGGTCTCCTTTAAGGTCTACATCATGACATGTTTTGCCTCACAAGAGTTAGAGAAGGCCTTTAACAGAATGCCCCACGAATGAATGACACCATGTTCAGCAGCAGTTCAAAAGCTGCAGGACTCACGTGGTTCCTTGGCATGGGAGATCTGGCCCTAAGGTGTGATTTTAAAGCCCCTTCATAAGATTTCCAAAGCTTGCTCTCTTAGGCTGGCTGTAGAAACCACCAGTGGCTTGTGCTGCTTCAGCTTGAGCTCTTTCCCAGAAGGGCAAATGGCTGAGCAGGGTCTTGGGTTCTCCATGGCTAAAATTGCTGGGGAGAGGAGGAGAAGCAGCAGTGCCTGATGAGAAAGCAGGACTGAGCTCACCTGGACAAGCTCAAGTGAAGCAGCAGAGAACTGTGGAATACTGTTAAAAGCCATTAGGAGCAGCCTCAGAGTTCAGTCTGGGCTGTGAGATGCTTGTGAGAGGCTAGCCTAGGTAAGGACACCTGCACTGCTGGGAATCCAGCCTGTTTGCATGGTGTTCAGGCAGCAAACAAGAGAAATTCTTCTTACTCCCCTGGAGAGAAATGTCAGAGAGCACAGCAGGCATACCTCCACCTTTCCAGCAGGTTTTAACAGGGAAGGATCTTTATTACAGCTATCCACATATAGTGTTTTACCCCTTTTAAAACTGACAGTCCCCTCATACACACTTTGTGTTCTGTGAGCCCCATATTTTGGTAATTAATGCTTAAGTTGTGTTTACATAGATTTGTAGTGAATTTGCTTATTTTTACCCAAAGAGAGTGGAGGAAAGCAGTTCAATGGCTGGTTCTCCTACATTTCTCAGCTGTTGGGAGACACCCCAGCCCCCTTTCAAGTGAAAGGGAAAATGGACTGGTTTATTATATAACATAACATAATATCTAAAGTCTACAATAACAGAGAATATGAAATAATAGTATGCCTGGCTTCATTCTGTCTGGTGTTATGCCTCTGTTGCCTTCTGTATGTCCAGCTGAGCAAATCTGCCTGCCCTCTGACATTACATCTGTCATTCTCATCATGCAAGTGTTAAAACAGGAGTGGTGAGAGTGTGAGAAGAACTGAGAGCATGCAAAGAACAGAATTCATTGTGGTTTACACTAAACCTACTCTGGTGATGCTTCATCCATGAGCCTGGCCATGGATGAACACAAGACCTGTCCTTTTTTTTCCTTAAGCATGTGCATATAGTGAGCAACAGGAGGTTCCTTTTCATAACAAATTAAATTTTATTTTTGAGAAACAGATGTAAAAAATCATTCCAGTTGTGAGACCTGAGTGCAACAAGAAGGTATTGGGTAGGGGTCCTAAGGCCAAGGCACAGCCATGGCACACACAGTAACCTCTACAATTGCCATTTCCTCTTGCTGCAAAGAAATCAAGGGTAATTAAAGCATCGGGCCATTGACCACTGAGGAAACAGATCCTTAAACTTCAGGTTCAGAGTATCAGAGTCTTTCAAATGATGTATGGCAAGTTTCTGAGAGCTGTGGCTATAAATAATGTAATTTGCTGCCCATTTGCAAAGGAGCTGAAGCAACAGCAGTGACAGAAAGCACGTGTTCATTAGGGCACAGTGTGCAGCGTGGTGATACGTTAAACGCAAGGCTTCCTCCCCCAGCCTTTGATGGGAATTTGAGATCTAATTGTCCCACTTTCTCTTGTCGTTGGTCGTAAATTAATGTCCCTTTTGATAAAGGAGTTCACTCATCCAAATGCCACGCCGTGGAGGAAAATGATTGTCTGTGTGCTGTTTGCCTAGACTTCCCTGACCTGTTATCACAGCACTGCTGAGGCAGAGTCCCCATTCCCCCCGAAGACATGCCTGTGCTCTCTGCTCCTCACTTAACCCTTCAGAGCTGTTCACACAGCCCTGGCAGGAGGGCACTGCACTCAATAGCCAGTGTGGTTGTTAGGTCCTGCTCAGCTTCTCAGGGGTTGTCGTGTCTATGTGTAATGAATATTGCAAGTGTTCCACACTGACAGTGTGTCATTGTGTGCGTTTGCTTACAGAGGCACTGAAAACATGCATCACAAACAGCAACTGCCTTTGATTTCAGGGGCTGTGGCAGCTCTAGTATTTGCTGCCCTATACATACAGAACCCAGCATTACCCAATTTACCTTATGCAATTAGTTTCATGCCACACTCTGTACAGCCAGAGCTTCCAAGCTGGCAGTGTATAGATCCCTGCTAGTGTCTCTTTGTGTATTTTTTTACTGATGCTTTACCTTTTTTCCCTATTTTCTTACACTTCCTTCAGCCCCTAACACATTCTTGTTTATACTGAGGAGGGGGCAGAAAGAAAGAACAGGCTTTCCAGGGCAGCCTGCTGCTTGTGCTGCTGCTCTGCTGACTGCTGCCCAGGCTCTGCAGCTCACGGCTGTGTGGCACTGAGAGCTGTATGGAAAGCAGCCTGGGGAACCCCAACATGTGCTGCACCCCACCTTGACACCCCTTGATCACAGCCACCCACAGCTCCCTTCTGAAATCCCTCTCCTGAATTCCTTTTTCTTGTCGGATTTGTCATGTTGGGTTGGATTTTCTTTTTCTGTTCCAAATGTATCCTGCTAGTTGTATGTTTAAACTCACAATTAAATTTGCATTAGGAAAACCAGATGTTATGCTTTGTGCCTTACAGGTTGTTGCATTACTTATTTTCTGCTTTCCTAACAATTCCTGATTTTTTCTATTTTGCTTCCGTTTTTGTTGCTTCTTGCTATTTGCTTGCAAAAACAAACAGGCAAGCCTGGTAAGTAAAGCTTTTCACCAACTTTCACACCAGCATTTTGCATTTTGAGTTTCTTTTGCTTTTGTTCTCTGTTTGCTGCATTCCCATTAAGTAATGTGAGTAATACTGAGCTGAGCCCGAAAGCGGATCTGCCGTGGTGCTGCTCTGATTCTGTCAGTTTGGATGGTGTTAGTCCTGAGCATACTGTTGGTGGTGGTGAGCTGTGGACAGTGTGTGTTGCAGACGTGGAAGCCAATTAATTAAAATATTTGAATTGCATAACCTGAAAAATACCTTTAGAAATAAGTATCTGTAACTGTTTAACCAAGATAGGACTGGCAGGCTGGTATCAGCACAGTTCTGCTAAGCATCTGTTTCATTAAAGCTCAGTCATAACTGTAGAAAATATCACATAAGTCTTCCAGTCCCCCTCCAGCCAGATGCCAGTTGCTGTTTTCTGTGGTGTTTCACCATTTTGTGATTAGAGGTATCTTAACTGTTACCTGGTATTATCAGTTGCCCCTGTCCTAAAGCTGAGTGGAGACTTTCCCTCTTTTCAGTTTGTGTCACTCCCTTCCCCAGTATGAAGTCTTGGTTTCCCCTTGGAGTTTAGTGAGGCTTCAGCTCACTGCCTGGTCTGTGGACACCTCTAGCATGAAGTGGAAGGGACAGGACAGAGGGGACATCAGCCTTCCAGTCTTTAAAGGGAGCCTACAAGAAAGATGGGGACAATGTTTTTAGCAGGGCCTGTTGTGACAGGACAAGGGGTGATGGTTTAAAGCTAAAAAGGGGAGATTTAGACTAAATACAAGGAAGAAATTGTTCACAGTGAGAGAGGTGAGATCCTGGCTCAGGTTGCCCAGAGAGGTGGTTGATGCTTCATCCCTGGAACCATCCCAGGTGAGGTTGGCTGGGGCTCTGAGCAACCTGCTCTAGCTGCAGATGTCCCTGCTCAGTGCAGGGGGGTTGGACTAGATGGCCTTTAAAGGTCCCTTTCCACCCAAACCAGTCTGTGATTCTGCATCACTTGCCCCTAATTCCCATGTGCCAGCTGAAGTCAGGCTGGGGGTGAGTGAGGAGCTGGTCCAGCTGAGGAGACAGGAGGGCACCATGGTGCTCAGGGAGGAACACGAAGAGCTCACTGGCTGTGAGGGAACAAGTCCTGAATTACTAACTTTATAGACTGCCCTAGAAACAAATGAGAAGGGAGCTGCTAAAATACCACAGGCAGCAGTCTCAGAAGAAGTAAAGTTGTGATATTAAGTACATGCTGATACATTATATGATCATGCAGATGGATCCCTTCCCCTGGCTGCAGCTGAGACCACAGAGGTATTGCCAAAGGACAGGATCCTGCCACTAAGTGTTTGGGAATTAAGCTGCACAGTGTGTAATCTCCAACGTGATTAAACAAAGCTTGTGCTGGAACACCAGGTGACAGCTTCTCAGATTTAGACAAATAAATGAAGGATCACAAACAGCTTTCTCATTTTACCTGAGAATACATTCATTTGGACTTTGCAGATGGTCAGAGTGTCTCTAAGATGGCAAAATAGACAAGAGTGTTTCATTTTTATGAAACATGAAGTGCCAAATTGATGTGGCATCACAGGGCTCTGGGTTTCTCAGTTCTGCCATACAAAAAGGTGTTCATTCACCAGTGAAATAAAGGTGTTAAAACTTCCAGTGCTGCAAACCCAGTGTGGTTCCTGAGAGCTGCTCTGGTTCATCTGACCTTCTGCATCAGAGAGAGCAAAATAACTGTAGGTCAGGCTCTGTCCCAGCAAGATGCTGTCGGGGGCAGACAGAGCAGCATGGAACACAGCCAACGTGAGCTGACGTGTGGCGTGGCATCACTGCTGCTCTGGGCTTAGGCTGGCAAAAAAGTCTATAAAAGGACTATATAAATATGCAAAAGGAGGAGATTAATGCTAGTTTGGGAACTGACAGTATCAACTTTGACATTTCAGAGCTGCCCAGCACTATGAAATTCTTCATTCAGATGAAAACTTCTATTCAAATAAAAAAATAAACTCTTAGTTCTCCATATTTCAAAATATAAAGGCTTGAATTGAGAGTTGTAGATTCTGAAATGCCCCTTGCTTTTACTTGTGAAAACTTCTTACCTTATTTTAGTTTCCATCATAGACAAAGGAAAACTCTAATATAAAACTGCTATGTCTTGGGTGCTGGCTTTCAGTATCTTTTTAAGGAGCCATTAAAACACAGACACCAGAATGATGTTTTTAGGATATGAAGCAAACAATGAAGCTTTTTGGAAGACAGTGACCTTTTCTTCCCGTGTTACATGGGTGTTCCAATTCATTGCTAGGTCAACTCCTTTGGAAAGTTCTCTTCCATATGCTTTTGGATTCCTGTTGTTCTTCCCACCATCCCTGTCTCTAATTTAACTATACACAGGAGAAGCTTGGAAGATGTTTTCTGCAGACCAGAATTTAGAAAGCCTTTCTAGTGTTAGATTTCCTTTCTGGCACTTCCCACAGTAATCCTGAGAATGAGGGTTTGCAAAACACTGGTTTTCCAAGGGAAGAATTGGAGTTGAGTTCCATTAAACAAAGTGCCTCGTTTGTACAGCATTAGAGGAGATGCCAGGAGATGACAAGCATATATCAGCAGTGCCAAAGAATTTATTGCCAGTCTAGTAATGTGCATAAATGTCCTTTCCTTCAGCTAGTGCATCTTCAGGCAAACAGGGGAAATCCAGCAGCTGCCTTTTGCAGGGAACAGCTGAGTTCATAGTGAAACAAATCATCATTACAGAGATATAGTCACATTTTTCCCCCACACATCAAAATATTTAAATACCACTGTATTTAGTGACCTTTTTCCAAAACAGGATTGTGTCTTTATATGAAAATGTTTTTTCTGGGTCTCTTAAACTTACTGATACACAATATTAGAGCACAGTGTAGTAGAAACTGTAGATGCTAGTGCAATCAGTGTTCTGAACACTGCTGCCTTTCTGAAAATAATTTCTTTTCCCTCCTCCTCTCTTTTTTCTAACAGAGGATGAGCAGAGAGAGAAATCTGTCTCCCATCACACCGTTCAGCAGCTCATCGTGGAGAAGGAACAAGCTTTGGCAGATCTGAACTCAGTGGAGAAGTCACTGGCAGATCTTTTCAGGAGATATGAAAAAATGAAAGAGGTGTTGGAGGGGTTTCGGAAGGTGAGTGCAGAGCTCCTTCTCCTGTCCACCAGTGCCACCCAGCAGAAGGCACAGCTTTGGTCCCTGCCAGATCTGATGTGCTCCATCCGACTGCAGAGTGCTGGGGGAGGGAGAACACGAACGGTCAGTTGTGCTTTTGTTTGGGAATAGCCTTAAAAAGGTGAAGATGTTGCACAAGAGTAACTTGCTGCTGTCTGTGACATTGCAGTTTCAACAGATGTCACATACCTGCAGGACTTGGGTGCATGTCAGGGCTGGCTTCTGGACTGCGCGTCCTGTTAAGACCTAGGACACGAGTCCCAGTCAGAGGTGGTGTCTAAAGCACCTGACGTAACTTAATCCTCAGATGAAGGGCTGCAGCCACCCACCAGATGCAAACAGAAGAATTGTAAAGCTTTTTGCAGTGTGTAATTGCTTCAGACAGCCTTGGAGGGGGGGTGTGAGTGTTACAATGCCCTTAAAACACCTGAATGTGACTCCTGGAAATAAATGCTTGTCCTGCACTTCAACCTCTTGGATTAAATTTTATGTAATCTTCTCATTTCAGAATGAAGAAGTGCTAAAGAAATGTGCACAGGAATATTTATCACGAGTAAAGAAGGAAGAGCAGAGGTATCAAGCACTCAAAATTCATGCTGAGGAAAAACTGGACAGGTAATTGAATGTGCACGTCTCTCTTCAGGAGCTGGTGCTGCAGGAGGATTCCTGTGGCTGGACCTTGCATCCCAAACCTGCTCCTTCAATATGCCAAGGGCAGGCTGCTCTGTCATCCTGGAGGGTGGAATGAAATGCCATGATTGTAGAGTCACAGAATGAATTTGGTTGGAAGGGACCTGAAAGATTATGTAGTTTCAACACCTCTGCCATGGGCAGGGACACCTCCCACTAGAGCAGGTTGCTCAGAGCACCATACAGCCTGGCCTAGAACACTTAGGGGGAGGGGGCATCCACAACTTCCCTGGGCAACCTGTGCCAGTGTCTCACCAGCCTCACAGGGAAGAATTTCTTACTAATATCTAATCTAAATCCCCACTTTTCCAGTTTGAAACTGTTACCTCTCATCCTGTCACTACACTCCCTGCTAAAGAGCCCCTCCCCATCTCTTACAGGCCCCATTTTAAGTACTGGAAGGCTGCTATAAGGTCTCCTTGGAGCCTGCTCCAAGCTGAACAACCTCAACTCTCTCAGCTTGTCCTAAGGGGAGGTTCTCCAGTCCCTATCATGGCCTTAATGAGAATTTCTGTGATGTGCTGGTGTTTCTTCCAGCTCCTGACCATATAGAGCACCTTAAATTTCTGTCTTTATCAAACACCTTCATGCTTCTTTATCATATTTTCCAGGGCAAATAAGAAAGCAGCCCTTAGCTAGGTCTGTGCAGCCATGGAGGGCTCTGCTCAGCTATTTGCATATGCAGCCAGTAATTATTTTTAATTATGCTTCCATGTAATGACCAGTTAAGCATTTCTAGGCAGTATATTCAAGATTCATATTATAATCCCCTAGACCCAGGAGGTGTTTCCAAATTGTCATTAAGATTGATCAGTGCCTAAACAAAGTAAGACTTGGATTTGCTTTCCAGCTGTTGTCCCAGCTGTGAGTCTAGTCATTAAGAACTGGAAATGAGGTTTAGAAGCTGCCATGAAACACTTCTAAGTGCTACACCTGAGAGAAGCAGGAAAGGAATGACACAGACTTTAAGGGAATACTTTGCAGGCTCTGCTGAACAAGAGAGGGAGTCATGAGAAGTCTCTAGGGACAAGTCTCAGAATACTTACAAAGACATGCAGAAAGTAGCCCTGCCCTCACCACCCACCTGTTCAGATGCAGGCCATCCTTTGGTACCCACTGTCCTTTGCTCTAGAGAACCTGACAGGACCAAAATCTGTGTTTTCCTAGAGCCAATGCTGAAATTGCACAAGTGAGAGGCAAGGCCCAGCAGGAGCAAGCAGCCTATCAGGCCAGCCTTCGGAAGGAGCAGCTCAAAGTGGACGCGTTGGAACGAACACTGGAACAGAAGGTGAGTGGCAATTCAGCTCTTAAATGCAGAAATCAACAGGGTGACCCAAGCAAAGTGGAATTTTCCCCAGGGTGGAGCTCAGGGTCTGCCCAAGGACCTGTTTGGGGAGGTGGACCCATGTGCCAGGCTTTGACCTCAGCCACAGGCCAGCGCTCGGGGCTGGTCCAGGCTCTGTCAAAGCTCCGTGGGCACCTCTGTAGCAGGCAGAGCCCTGGGTTTGCTTTGCTTCTTGGGTTTGAGGTCTTCTTGTTTCATGCTTTGATTTTTTGTTTCCATGTTTAGTTCTAGCTGTAATTCCAGTGGTAGCTCACATCCCTCCCATGTTAGCAGGGACAGTGCTGAGGAGCAGATCTGTGTGGCTTAGGGCAAGAGGGACTGGAGGAAACCCCAAAGGATATCTCATGTTCTTTACCTGGGCTTGTCCTCATTCAGAGCCCAGGGTGAAAATAATGCTGTAGGAGTGCAGCCCAGAAACAGCCCTACACTATGTATTGTAGTGAGTGCTAGGAATGGCTGCTCTGAAGCTGTCTGCTTTGGGGCTAAATTGTACTGATTGAAGTTGGAGGAGCTGTATGTGGAAAGAATCCTGGGATGGTTTGGGTTGGAAAGGACCTTAAAGATTATTGAGTTCCAACCCCCCTGCCATGGGCAGGGACACCTCCCACTAGAGCAGGTTGCTCAAAGCCCCATCCAGCCTGGCCTTGAACATCTCCAGGGATGGAGCATCCAAAACATCCCTGGGCAAACTGTGCCAGTGTCTCACCACCCTCAGAGTGAAGAACTTCTTCCTCCCATCTGATTCACATCTCCCCTCTTCCAGTTTGAACCCATTAGGAAAGGAGTGAGTGTGTTGTTGCATGCACTGCAGGTAGCTGTGCTGTTTGTAGGTGCTCTGTTCTCAGTCTTGGAGGAAACTTAATTGTCCCACACGTCTCCCAAAGGTTGAATAATTTAAAAACAAACAAACAACATAAAACAAGCCTTAATGCTACAATATTTTTCAGAATACTTTATCATAGAATCATTTAGGTTGGAAAAGACCTTTAAGATCATCAAGCCAAATTGTTAGCCCGGCACTGCCAGGTCCCCACTGCCCCATGTCCCTCAACACCACATCTACATGGGCTGGAAACCCCTCCAGGGATGGGGACTCCACCACTGCCCTGGGCAGCCTGGCACAGCCCTGGGCAACCCTTTTCAGGAAGTTTTTCCTAATATCCAACCTAAACCTCCTCTGGTGCAACTTGAGGCCATTTCCTCCTGTCCTATCACTTGTTCCTTAGATGAGCCTGACCCCCACCTGGCTCCAGGCTCCTGTCAGGAGCTGTGCAGAGCCAGAAGGTCTCCCCTGAGCCTCCTTTGCTCCAGGCTCAACAATCTCAATTCCCTCAGCTGCCCTTCTATTTATTTATGATACAGTGTGATATGATTACCATATGACATGATCGATTGCCTTTTATTTTCCAGAATAAAGAGATAGAAGAATTAACAAAGATTTGTGACGAACTGATTGCCAAAATGGGGAAAAGCTAACTTTGAACCAAATTTCTGGACTTCGATCCCGAGTGCAATATGACCATTGGCACACTGATGTCCATACATTTATGTGGACAGGTTATATTTTCACTTTTTCGTATGCACTACTGTATTTTCTTTCTAAATAAAGTTGATTTAATTGTATGCAGTACTAAGACGACTATCAGAATTTCTTGCTATTGTTTGCATTTTCATAGTATAATTCATAGCAAGTTGATCTCAAAGTTCCTGTATCAGGGAGATTGTCAAGTTCTCTAAGAAATTACAAATTGCTGATCCTAGCCTTCCCTTTGTACATGAGTTCCCATGTTGGATGTCTTTTGGATTTAATATAAACATGTATTACTTGCATGGGGACTCTTGCCTTAAGGAGTGTAAACTTTATCTGCATTTGCTGATTTGTAAAATAAAATTTAAAATGAAAAAAAAAAAATGCATGTCACAAATGAAATTCTCTATTGTAAATAAATTTTTTCGTTGGAAGTTGAAGATAAGTATGACTCCATTTTATGTACTTCACTTGCTTACCTCATGTGCAGCACTAGATAGAGTAGCTCTTACTAATTAATCCCTTCACAGAAAGCACTTCAGGGGTTGTTGCTTGGAGCACTCTGGGTCACAAGAGTATGCTACTTATGCACATATATCTCTGTCTCTTTCTCTCTATAATTCTGTGACCAGGGTAAATTTGGAACACTCAAGTCTCAGACATAGGCTTAATCCTCTGAAATGTTTAATACTCTGGCCCTGATCCAGCAAATCATAGAATGGGTTGGATTGGAAGGGACCTTAAAGATCATCTAGTTCCAACCCCCCCTGCCTTGGGCAGGGACACCTCCCCCTAGAGCAGGTTGCTCAAAGCCCCATCCAGCCTGGCCTTGAACACCTCCAGGGATGGAGCATCCACAGCTTCCCTGGGCAACCTGTGCCAGTGTCCCACCACCCTCACAGTGAAGAACTTCTTCCTTACATCTAGATCTCCCCTCATTCAGCATGGAGCCATTGCCCCTTGTCCTGTCCCACAGTCAGATGTAATGAGACTTTGCAGGAGCTGGAGGCTGTGGCATGCCACGGTGGGATGGTGCCTTTTAAGCAGATCTGTCACTGACTGGTGAATACATTCTCATCTCTTGGGAGGACTTGCCTGCAGGGTTTGTGAAGGTGAGGTTCTGGGGGTTAGAAGCAGGACCAGAACAAGCGAGATAAGCAGCGTTGTGGGTGGGGACCAGCTGGAAGCTGAACAAACAGTTCCTGTGTAAGCCCTGGAAGAAAAGGGCTGTTTGCTCAGGAGGGGGCAGAGCAGGGCGGGGTGGGCAGGGCAGTGCCGCAGCCTTTCCAGGGAAGGGTGGGAAAGCCCCTTGAACCGAAACCGGCAGCTCTGCCTGGCACCGGAGCGCAGAGGGGCGGGCACCGAGGAGAAGGCAGGAGCCACGGGGTGGGACTTCCCGGGGTGGGACTGCCCCACCAGCGCTCCTGCAGACCCGAGACCCGCTGGCTGGAGCAGCACTAGAGCCCCGTGCTCCCCTTTTTCTCTCTCCTTGTTCCCTGTCTCCTCGTGGTGCCGGGCAGCCCAAGCCCCACACCCGTGGGGAGCGCTGGGCAGGCCCGTGTCCTCCTCGGGGCCCAGCTCTGGAGCGGGGCTGTGCCCCCAGCCGCCTGCCCCTCCCTGGGCGGGCCCTGGCCCCCACCCCCTGAGCCCATAAACCATCCCCTGCGGAGGATTAGCTATGTAAGAGAAGCATTAAGGCTTTAATAGCAAACAAACTGCTTTCTTTGTCTAATGGTGCATCTCTTGTATCTCCATGATGTGGACAGTCTGCGGCCTGGTGCTTGTCAGCTCCCTTTTTGTACTCCAAAGTAAGTCACCTCCCTTTTCTTTCCTTTTTTCTCTCTTTTTTGTTCCCTCCTTCAGGCGTTGCTGGGCCTCTCTGCTGGCCTGGGCTTCTGGCTTGGTTTGCTCTCACATTATTTTGGGTGTGTGGCTAGCAGCACAGAATTGCACCTCTGCTGTGCAAGAGGAATATCAGTCTGCTAACAAATCCCACTGCACGGTGCCCCATGGACAGCAAGCGTGCCTTCTGCTCAGCGAGTCTCCACTGCAGCATTTGAAATATACTTTAAATTCACCCTTGCCTTTGAAAATACCCCCTCTGAAGGTACTCTGCTGTGCCTTCCAGCTGAATTGGTACTTGAGAAGAAAATAAAATAGGGATCATAGTAAGATTTTGTGTCTTTATAATGGACTTTTTCATGGTACTGTGGACCAAAGATCATGATGGAGGGGGGGGAAGCAAAATACTCCAACTTCTTCCAGTGGATTCTGCTCTGAAAATCTTATGGGAAGGTGTGGCTGCAAATCCAGAATATCAGATGTTTTCTGGTTATTTCAACTGCAAGTTGTAACTACTAAATACTAGATGGCTGATTTGTTTTTATGTCTAAAATCAGCATCTGGACCACTTTTAAAAAATTGATAGGACTTGCAGAACCTTCAGTTTGTTTCTTTCAAAACCTTTTTGCAATGTTTGGAATGCACTTCAAACCAAATGAGGAGGACGGTGTGGGTGATATTTTAAAATATCTGGTGTAAACTCTGACCACTGCTGTTGTAAGTGGCTTTTCTCCCCGTGCCAGGCGAAGCCCTGCAGTGTTACACCTGTGTAGGGTCCAACGACGAGGAGTGTAACAGAGAAGGGACTCAGCAGTGCCCGGGGCGCACAGACGAGTGTGCCATCATCAGAGGACAAGCAAGTGAGTACTCACAAACGGGCCAGGCTCACTGAATTCTTAATAATAGAAATAAATAATCAGTGTTGGAAAGAGAAGAGAATAGAGGAAGCTAAGGAGAAAAACAAAGGTGAATGTTTCCTCTCAAAATAAACCCTATGAATAAACCTCAGTCCCTGTTTTTATTGGTTTAGCAGCAATCTGATACAAAAGCCCACTAAGGTTTGTCAGTATGCTGTGATCAGCTGTATCCACACTATCTGCAAACCATAAAAAAGCATTTAAATATTGCTCACTTCTTCCTCACATCTGTCCTTTTGAAGTTAAATGACTTACCTGGGAACTGGGAAGGAGAAGAAGCTGATGAGGCGCTGCACTTGAGCAGCTTCAGCAGAAGCTTGGTAGTGTTCTGTGCTCTGATGCAGTGCTGTGAAGGAATGGCCCAGCCTGACGTTGGTGTTCACCATGAGATGGTCGGGTTCATGCTGAGGGGGTGTCCATGTCCATGTCCCTCAGGGTTCACTGTGGCTCTGTTCCAGGTGGTGTCACAAAGTCCTGCGTGTCCCGATCCTTCTGCGACCGGGCGAGGAGGGATGGGTCCAGGGCACGTGGGCTCAGCGTCTCCTGCTGCTCCTCAAACAACTGCAATGAAAGAGGCCTGGCCTCCAGGCTCACCACCTCCACGGGCTACATTGCTCTCCTCACCTTCACCTTGCTGTGTCACCCGCTGCTGAAGCTGACATGAAGGGGGAAACGAGTACCCTAGAGCAACAAGTCTGCCTTCCTAGAAAGAGATGATTGTATTTCCTCACCACACCACTCCATGTACCCTGTTTCTTGGTAGGTAAGAAAGCTGCAGGCAGACTTGAGAGATGTTCAGATCAAAATTGTTCCATCTGCTAAATATGTCTTCACCTCTATGTATAAAGAAACTGCCCTCTTCTTCTTTATCACAAAGGGTTGATTGTGCAAATATCTAACAATTTCCTACAATGAATATGCAACATTTTCCTGCAATTTAGGTAATAAATGTAAAAAGAAAGAGAAATCTTAGCTGCACGTAGCCTTACAGTAGGGTAAAGGACCAGTATCTTCCAAATGCTGTTTACTGTTGGCAGACATTCAAAAGCAAGCTAAAATTTTCAAGCACAAAGTGACTGAATATTCTAGCAAGCAAATTAGTCTTTCAGAGAACATTTGTGAAGTGGACAAAGCCAGAACACTTGCAATAAAGATTTAGTATTAATAGAACCTGGTAAAAGGAGGTCATTAAGAGGACAATGCATGGAGGTTATGTTGTGTTATATATATTTCCTGGGGAAAAAAACCCTTCCAGTCTTCTCTTTTCTGATCCTTTGAGAATCTTACCACAACATTGGAATAAAAAAGGGGGAAAAAGATAATTTGGAAGTTGTTTTGAACTTGTAAGGTCCCTCCAAAAGACCAGCTTGTTTTACCTTTAACTGCTTGTTTTGAGAGCAAGTGGGTAATCCCTGTCTTGGAGGCAAATTGTAACATTTTCCTTTATCCAAATTCTTCTTGTGGTTTCAACTATGTAGTTAATTCTTTGCTGTCCTAAACTTCATTCTCTGAGAGTAAAAGCACATGTCTCCCCCTCCAGTGATGTGTCTGAGTTGATCTGGTGTGGTTTACATATTCTATAAAAGTCAATTAAATGGCTTGGAAATCTTTAGAGATGTAAGGAACTAAATCAACATGGTCAATAATCTCCATTGCAGTGTCACCAGGGAAATGATCCAGGATGGGCCACATTGTAGAAGGCACCATGTGGTTTATATATTCTTTTAATTTTGAAAAGTCAATTAAATGGCTTGGAAATCTTTAGAGATGTAAGGAACTAAATCAACATGGTCAATAATCTCCATTGCAGTGTCACCAGGGAAATGATCCAGGATGGGCCACATTGTAGAAGGCACCATGTATCACTAACTAGTAGGCAGATGGTCTTTTGAAGTGGTTGTGTTGAAACTAGGCAAGACAAGAAGTGATGTAACACATGATGTGGTAGCACTAAGCAAGGTCTTGGGTCTGTGATAGAGGGTGGCACCTCCTCTGAGTCAAAACTCAGAGGTGCAGCCAAGCAGATGGGTGATATTTGTAGATTTTCATGTCCAGCTGTAATGATCTGGTCTAACCTCTGGCACACAGAACTGGCTTAAAGTCCAACTGAACCGAGGTTGAGGTGGTCTTTCAAGTTCTAGTTTTGTTTGCCAGTTTGGAAGAAGATTTAGTCATCAAGTTTATGGAACTCACAAAATACGTGGCAAAGTAGTTGTTCCACTGGCTTTATGTTGTGACATTTTTTTTTTCAGTATAATTCTTTGAAAAAAATCAACTCCAGGCACTGTGTCATAGAACTCTGCAAACCTGCAAAAGGATTGTTAAGGTTGCAAATTCTAGAGGGCTTCTTCAAGTGAAATCAGTGGGGCCTCCATGTAGAGTGTGACTGTAGCCTGCCTTGTAGCTGTTGCCTGTCACCCAGACCAAACTGTCCCTTGTTTTATTGTTCTCTTTGCATGGATCAGTTCATCATCTCAGGTAGATTGTGGCTTCAGACTGGGACTGTTCTTCTGGGGCTTTGTTAAGTGGTGGTTCTGGTCTGTGCTTAGCTGCTAGGCACGAGCCTGCTAAAGCTGTTGGATATAAAGATTGCAACAATGCAGCAGATCTTGGCTGAGAATGTTGATTTAGACTTAAACATCTCATCTGTGTAAAAATCCCTTCAGTGGAGGTATTTTTCATTTCATTCTCAGCTCGAATTGGTTCCTTCAGTCCCTTCTGCTGCAGGGAGTGAGTATGGAGAGTATCTTTATTTTGTGATTGTTCTGTAATGATAAATCTGTCTTGAATGTAATCTCTGTATCTGCTCAGTGCATTTCCTTAATGAGATAATAAAACACATGCAACGCCTGACAGTGTCTCCTGGTAAAGCTGCATCTTCCCACTGGGATTATCCGAGTGCATCCCACGCTCTGTTTTCCAGCAGGGATTCTTGTTTTCTGGGGGATGTATTAAATCTGTTAGATAGAATAGGGAATGTTGGTAGTTTTCTTACCGTGGTATTTCCATGATAAAATAAGAAGGTAAGGCTCTATGCTCTTGACAAACACCATCTGTCACTCCTGACGACAGCCAGGACTCAGAGCCTCAGGCAGCTCAGAGCTCAGTTTGATTCTGCCACCCAGCACGTGGCAGGCTGGGGTTTGGGGCTTATGGGTCTGATGTTTTTGTTGCCTCACTGTGAGCCTGAAGCATGTGTGCATGTGTTTGTCTGGGACTGACAACCCACACTGATGGGTCCATGGCACCGCTGGCACTTCACTGTTCTTGGTGTGAACACGAACAGGAAGGCAAGCACAGAAAAAAAATGGAACAAAATAGAAGGGATAGTTTTTATACCCTACTAAAAATACAGAAAATATTTTAAAGTTTCCGTTGCCATGACTGTGCCAGAGCTGTTCCCAGCCAGATGTAAACCAGAAAGTGACTCTGTAGTTTGGTGGCTCTGCAGACTGGTCACTCCTGGCAGGGTGGGTACTCTTGCTTAGCTGACAGACAGTTGGGACAAAAGAAGCAGAAAGTGATAATGAAATGCCTTCTGCTGCAACTAAAAATGATGGGACTTCATCTTGTGTATTAGTTGGATCTGTGTAGTGCATCAGCTGGGGAAGTGCTGGGTTGGAGTTTAATGCTAGCCTCTCACCTTCAGGAAAGGATCTCCAAAGCAAGAGGTTTGTGATTTCTGAGCAAGAGAAACTCTCAGTTACAATTGCAGCTTGTAGGACTTACAGCCCCAAGTCACAATTTCCCAGCCAGCAAGAGCCTCTGGAACCTACCAGGAGGGCACATCTGGTCTGAGCTGCCCTGCACCTCCTCAAAGTGCAAATGTACAACTTCCTTTGTGTCTACTCATCCACACCTGAGTTCTCCCACAGTGAGAGCGAGGTTCCAAGTTGTCTTTTGTTCTTGGTAAGGAATAAGCAATTCTGGAAGCTTGTGAGCTTCAAACTCTAGATGGGAGAAGACTACATCTGCTATCTGATGAGAGGAGTTTTAAGTACATCTCGGTGTCACAGAACACAGATTCTTTTTTAACTTCTTTTTCACATGAAAGGTCAGACATGGGGCTCTGTTCAGTAGGGATTAAAACAAAAAAAAAAGCCCTTGTACCTTCTGTTATCATGTTTTGGTGTGCAACAACAGCCCAGCTGTGACCAGTCTCATTGGGAGCATCACTCCAGAGGGTCTCAACCTTTCTGGACCCTATAGATGTTTAGGACATAGCCCAGAGCTGTGGCTGTGGCTGGTGACTGCACTTGAGGGAGGACTTTGAGGCTTTTGAGATCAGAATTCCTGACTGCAGTTCCTGGAGCTCCAGGTTATCACCCTGTACACACACACTGCCTCTTATCATCCAAAGCCTGCAATGCACTGAGTACTTTTAATTGGTAACTTCATGACGTGCTTAAATGTAGCACATTCACTCCCAGCTTTCACTCCCAACATTTACCAAGTGGGAAAGACTGATAACAGCATTAACACAAGGAACAGGGTGCACGAAGAGTGTAGGCAGAAATTCATCGTGCTAAGTGGTGTAGATACAAGTAAATTTTGTCTGAACAAAACAAGGGAAGATCCAATGCGGGATTCGGGTCAGAAAGCGCCACAACAGCACCGATGGTCCTTGGCAGTGAGGCTGTATGGAAAGTAGGTCTTGTCAGAAACATCCCATCTGAGGTTGAGGATTTTTGCTGATAAAGGCAAAGACGTGGATTTGGCAACACGCTTCAGATGAAACTGCAGCCGTGATATGCAGGCTGAGAGTCCAAGAGCTGGAAGAGTGAAAGACTGCAAAAACTAGTTCTCAGTGGGAAATGATCCAAACGGTATCTTGGACACAGGAGATGTCATCTCCCTGACAATCTCAGGATGTTACACAAGTGTCACAAAGAGAAGGAGCTGTCTAAGTGCTACCATGTCTGCATCAAGGCAGTGCTTTATGTCACCCTGCATGTTGCCACAGGGACAGGATTCCAAGGGAGAGGAGTAATGCCCTTTCCTGGAGCAGAACTGGAGAGTGGGAGGATGGGGATGAGCATTTTGTAGCCACCCAACTCTCCCCTGCTTCACACTGAGCACCCCTGATCTGTGAAGGAGAACACTGTTACCAAGATTGCCTACACCTTTCCTAGCAACCTGATTTGGCTCAGCAGGCAATATTTATCTCAAAAACTACCCTTTTAGCTGCAAGACCTGTACGAGATAATGTCTGAAAGCTGAAGGGGAATTCCTCATTCAAAGTCATCTCCCTGTTCTGAAGGCTCCTGCCTTCCATCCTCACCAAAACATTTTCCATCTTTTGCTTTAAACACTCAAGGGAGGAGGTGTTTGAGCACCAGCAGAGACTTGGCCAAAAACTTGAAGGCTGGTGTTCAAATGCAGTCACTGATTCCCACCACCCTCACTTGGGACATCTGTCATTTATTTTAAGCAATGCTGGTCACCCTCAGTTTCTGATTTTCAGTGCAGAAAGGTCAGTGCAGACCTGCCCTGGAGCTCGGCGTGGCTGGCATCTCTTCAGCCAGGGCAGAGCCTGGTCGTGCTCAAAGGCAAATGTCTGGTGCATGGTTTTGCTCACGGGCTCTCCCAGCCTTCCCAGAGCTTTTGCAGCCTCAAGGGTCTTCTTTGACAGCTTGTTCTCAGGCCCCTCTGCAGCTGTCCTGG